AGAACTGATGCTGCTTACAACAACAGTGCGGAACTGAGGGCTGAACGGACAGGAGTCGTGGGCTCTGCCGCTAAACCTCTGCCGCTTGGAACTGGCCTCAGTGGGACTGTTTGCATTGCGGGCATCAGATGCGACAGATCAGGCTGCCCTCCTGTCCCAAGCTGGTTATCCTCTGCCGGCCGCTGTGCATGGCTGGCCTGCTCTCTGAGCCCATGGGGTGTGGGCCTGAACTCGCTATTGTTCCACCCTGCTCTCTCTCCATGACTCCCGTTCCTCCCCATCCCGCTGGCTCCTACAGGGCTGGGGTGCAGAGGGGGATTAGAGCTGCCCCTCGGTGGGCCTCTAGCTATCTCTTCCCTCGTCCAGAGGTGGGCGATGGAGCCCAGTGCTTGTCCAGAGGTGGGCGATGGAGCCCAGTGGGGCCATCTCTTTCCAAGTCCTTCAGCGACGAGTCTGGCAGCTCCTCCTCGGGATGTGGGGTGATTGTCTCCTGTTGTCCTCAACGAGTCCCCGTCCATATACTGACCATTGAGGCCCTTGGAGAAGATAGCCTTGCTTACAACTCGATCACATTGAGGAGGCTGTCGCTGCCGGGCTCTGCAGACCCTCTGTACTGCGGGAGGCCGGGCCGGAGGGAATGGCTCTTTGTTAGGGAACGCCTGGGCGATGCCTGGGATGGAGTTGTTTATGGGTGTGGGGAGGGCAACAGTGCTGTGTGCCATGAGGCGGGGAGATTCTGATGTTCCAGAAGCAGCCTGATGGGGAGGTTACCCAAGGTGTGGTGGGGGAGGAGAGGCGGGGAGGTCTCCGTGATGATGACCAACCTTAGCAAGGTTCTGCCGCAGGTCACTTCTGTGTTCCCGTAGCTGGGGGAAATCAGGGAGGAAGAGGCCGGTTTCACCCTGAGGTCATTGTGGGGTGGAGAAAGGGAAAAGCTCCATCGGGTGAGGCAAGGAGGCCAGGAAGTGGAATCAAGCGGTGTGTGGGAGAACGTAGGCTCGGGGACTTATGGGCGGGTGTGTGCATGTGTGTGTGTGCATGCGCATGTGAGTGTGTGCTTGTGTGCATGCATGTGAGTGCTCTGTGAGTGCTCTATGTGTGCATGTGTGTGCGCACGTGAATCTGTGTGCATGTGGGTGGGCGTGTGAGCCTGTGTGCGCATGGGCAGTGGGTGGAGTTACTGAGCTGCTTCCAGCCTCAGGAGCTTAAGCAGTTGGTTGGACCCTTCAGAGAAAGGTGGTCCCTGAGCACTGCGGACACCAGACGAGCAACATTGCTGTGATGAGCGCATGGTCAGCAAGTTGTCTGGTTTTGTTTTCTTAACAGAGCTGAGGGTCTGCAACACCAGCCAGGAAGCTCAGGTCATGTGTGTGCACCTGTGGCGGGAATGCTAGATCCCTCTGACCCGCTCGCCGCCGGTCGTTCTCCTGTTTCTCCTCGCAGCCCTTCTGGTCTCACGTGAGCAGACGGGACACTCTGCGTCTGTCTCCTGCGGGGTCTGGCAGGGAGAAGTTGTTTTAAGTACCACTGATCACTTCGTTTTCATTCTGAAACCTATAATTGTAAAACTCTCAAGGTCTGGGATGACCTGAGACGTCCTCCCGCAGGAGAAGCGGGGGTTCTGCTCGAGGCCCTGCTGCTCCTCTCTGGCCTCACGGGCCAGCTGGGTTGTTCAGCCCGATGCCATTTGTGAGGAACCCGTCAGCTCTCTCCAGTGGCCCTTGGCTCTGCACCCATTCCAGGTTTATGTTAGAAGCCTTTTTCCATGTTTTTGTGTGTGTGACCGGGGCTTCTGTGCCCTCTTCCCCGTTCTTGAGTTCTTGATTTTGCTGCTTCTGTCTGATTTGGAGAACACCTTGGGGGAATTTTTTCAGGCAGGGCACTCAGGGGACAGTCTTTCTAGGCACACGTGTCACCCTGGAGTATGCCTTGGCTTCAGCTTTTCTGCGGGCGTGCCCTGTGGCCGCAGCTGGGGAGCAGGGCCCTCAGAACGCAGGCTCAGAACGCAGGCGGAGGCCCCTGCTGTGGCGGGCGCATTTCCACGCCTCCTGAGTCTCAGCCCGAGCTCTTGGCGCCTCTCGCCGGACCCTCAGAGCCACACTGCTCAGACGTCGTTGTGCAGCAGACGCCTGCCACTTGGAGGCAGAGTCAAGTCGGCAGGTCTGGGAGGACCCAGCGCTGCTGTCCACGGGCCGCACAGAGCGGCAGCTTCAGAGCCGGTGAAGCACGCGCACGACATGACTCATGGCGCTCGGTGCTCGGGGCTGTGTCCTGCGAGGGAGGCAGGGGGCTGTGACGGGACAAGGGGCTCCCCGGCCTGGAACAAGAGCTCCTCTGCCCTCTTCCACCCCTGCCCACTCCCCTGCCAGTGCCCGTGGGCTGCTCCTCCCTGAAGGGGGGAGTCCTCCTCCCCTCCACATCCTCCTCCCCTGCCACTGAGGACAAGGCCCCCCTCCCCAGCCCTGGGGTGAGGGAGCTCAGGGTGGCGGCCGAAGGTGGCTGGTCCTGGCTTCAGTGACGGAGCAGAGGCTGGGCCGGCCTTTGCCTTTGTTCACACACTGGGGACACGTCCGCCGAGCATGTCTCTGCCCCGCAGGAGCCCCTGGTGGAAGGGGTGAGTGACAGCCCAGCCCGGGCATGACAAGCGCTGTCACAGCTCTGGGCCCCGGGCCTGGGCAGGAAGGAGGAGGTGCCGCGGGCCAGAGCGGGTCCGTGATGGCTGTGTGTGGAACTACGCCTGAGAGAGTGAGCAGGGACAAGCCAGGCGGAGAGGACCGAGGGCAGGGGTGGCGCTGGAGGGGACAGGCACGGGCGCGGCTGTGGACACGAAGCACTTGGCGGGTGAGAAGTGCAGAGGTGTATATGTGCCTGGGCCCAGCTGGGGACGGGGAGGCAGTGGTGGGCGAGGCGGCCAGAGACGCAGGCAGAGAGCAGCTCGGGGACTACATGTGTGTCCTGCCTGGGCTGTCCCGTGGGTGTGGGGACAAAATTCCCCAAACTCCTGCGTCTGACTTCATGCATTTAAGCAGATGGTCTTCACCCCGACTTCACGGACCTCTCAAGGCCCCCCCAGGCCGCCTCTGAGCGGATGCCTGTCTCCTCCCTCGGTCTATGGGGAAGACACCCCGACCTGCAGCCTCTCCTGCTCTGCCTCCAGGCTGTGCAGCCCCGTCCTGTCCAGTCCCGTCGGAAGTGCTCGTCCACCCCCTTCGCTCTACAAACCCAACTCTTCTCTGATCTTGACCCCTCCCGGTGGTCACGCGGAGCTGGTTCCTCATCTGTGTCCGTGCGCACAGGGGCCAAGTGTGCTCACCTTGTAACTAACAGACTGTGCGGTGGCCGCCCTGTGAGCATCTGGGGCCTTGGACCCAGTTCTGCCTCTCCCTCCACTCGGTTTATCTGCTGCTCCGTTTGCTCTGCGTCCAGCTGGCGCATCTCCTGTTGCCCAGTCGACTCTTCATTTGAGCTTGTCCCCACCCTGCCCGAGATGCCCTTTCCACCAACTGAACCAGCCCGTGGGCTGTGCCCTCCTCCGCCAGGGAAGCTGCTGCTAAGTCACCAGGGACCCCCCACCCCTCAGATCCAGGGGTCCCTGAGACTGGCCCCGTCCCTCTCAGCCCTGCCCCCTGGTTTGTGCCGCCATCCCCAAGCCCACGCCGCTGGGCGCTTTCCCTCTGCCCAGGCTGCACCTCGTGGAAAGGCCTGGCCCCCGTCCATCCCTGGCTCCCAGGCTGGCTGAAGTCCTGCCTCCACTCACTGGCCGGCTGCTCCAGGCGACAGTTCCCCCAGCTCCAGACCTCTGCCACCCCACTTGCTGGGCCTGGCTGCGTGTCCTCCCTGGGGGTCCCCACTCGCTGGGCCCGGCTGTGTGTCCTCCCTGGGGTCCCCACTCATTGGGCCCGGCTGCGTGTCCTCCCTGGGGACCCCCACTCGCTGGGCCTGGCTGCGTGTCCTCCCTGGGGACCCCCACTCGCTGGGCCTGGCTGCATGTCCTCCCTGGGGGCCCCCACTCATTGGGCCTGGCTGCGTGTCCTCCCTGGGGACCCCCACTCGCTGGGTCTGGCTGCGTGTCCTCCCTGAGGGTCCCCACTCATTGGGCCTGGCTGCGTGTCCTCCCTGGGGTCCCCACTCACTGGGCCTGGCTGCATGTCCTCCCTGGGGGCCCCCACTCGCTGGGCCTGGCTGCGTGTCCTCCCTGGGGGCCCCCACTCGCTGGGCCTGGCTGCGTGTCCTCCCTGGGGCTCCCCACTTGCTGGGCCTGGCTGGGGGTCTCCCTGGGGGTCTTTTGTCTTCCTATTTGGGCAATGCCTGGCTCAGAGCCGCTGCTCACAGATATCTGTTGAATGAGTGTGCAAGTGCGATCCCCTCCATGTGCAGTGCCTTGGGGGCGGGGGCCATGTATCCTCCACCACATGCTGACAGAGGCTGCCCATGCTGGTCTGCCAGATGTGTTTGTTGATTGACAGTCTGATACCACTGGTTTGGTGCCAACTCCTTTAACTGGACTAAATACACACGCGTGTGCACGCACGTGCACACACACACACACACACACACACACTAGGGGCGTGGATGTTAAAAGTCCAGTGTATGGGCCCCAGGAGCTCCCTGGAAATTAGCAAGAGAGCTTTCTGTGATGCCGAGAATGTTTTGTATCTGCTTCTGATCCAGACCCTGTTGGCCCCTCCTGGCTTCCCTCGGGGGAGGTGCAGCCCTGACAGGTCCTGGGTGGTTTCGGAGCATAGAGGACATGGCTTGTCCTGGGCATGGCCAGTCACCTGAATGACATCTTCCCTCTCATGGGACCTTCTCCACCCACTCTGATGGGCACCCCCTTCAGGCAGGGCAAGGCAGAACTTTGATATCTGGATAATTCTTGGGAACAAGGCCATGCACGTGGGAGAGGCAGACCCATTTGGCCATTTCATCATCTTATTTTCCTTCGATATCTGGCTTAAAGTGAGGCCCACATCAATGGAAAACAAAACAAGCAGACAGGATGAGGACATTCTTTGTATGTTTACTATGATACGGCAAGATTTTCCAGATCAGAGCCAGTTATCCCCGCCGCAGGCAGCAGCCTCAGGGCAGATGCCTTCACGTGACCCAAAGGACATCCCCAGACATGACATTGAGACAATGCTCCATTTCTCTGACGATGACTTCTCCAAGTGCATATATAATAAATAAATAGAAAATACATCTTTGTCCATGGTGACACCTACAAGAAATGTTTACATACAACACACCATACATCTAATTCCCGAAAAAGGACCAGCTATTTCGGCAACAGGAAAAAGACAGGCATTTCAGGGGAGTGCTGTCTTCCTTGAAGGCCTAACTCATTTTAGTGCTCACAGACAGAAAAGAATGACGAGAACAATTTTCTAAGCAAGGAAAAAAATGTATGCTACCAAGAGCGTGCCTGGACACCGGCTCTTGGCGAATCGCATAGAAAAGAAAGTTTTATGCACAGATCCTGCACTGTCAGACATACGCACAACTCTGAGGATTTTCAAATAGATACTTTTTGAAATGAAGGAACCAAAGACAGTCGACATTCCCAGCCACTTGAAGTGATCACATCCTCAGTGGTTCACAGTGTGAGACCCTCGCGTTGGAAGAGTTTGGAAAACTCAACAGAACTTAGACAAGAACATGAGGTCATTTTAACTCTCCTCCCCATCGCCTCCTCCCTGATCTGCCTGAAGAGTCCTTCCTGGGCTCAGGGCCTCGAAGCAGCCGTATCTCAAGAGGCAGAGCCCCTCACCTCCAAGCAGCTGACAGGCCTGTTTGGTGGGGATTCCTCTCTGCAGTTGGTCCAGCCTGGAGCGGACTCGCTGGCCGCGTCTCATGGGTGCAGCTGGACAGAGGGAGCGAAGGAAGCCCCCAGAAGGGAGGAGTCTGTGGTGGGGACAGGAAAGGGGACATGTTGTTCCTCACGAGACCCAGGGCGACACTGGCACCTCACGAGGCGGGATCAACTGCAGGGCGACTCTCCTCCTCCTGGGAGCCCCTCCGCTCTGTCCCGGGGGGCAGGGAGAGCAGGGTCGTTGTCAGGAGCTGCGAGGGCCTGGGGCAGCCCAAGAGTGGCCTGGTTGGCTCACCGGAAACGCTCCAGCATGCTGATGCTCCCCGGGACCGCACCTGCAGACCTCAGACGGATAGCACCAGTGATTGCAGCCGCTGTGCACCATGGGGTGGCAGGTAGTGTGGACAAGGCGGAGGCTGCAGGGCGGCCACAGCCCAGGGGAGAGAGCCCTGTGTGCAGAGGCCCGGGCGGGAAACAGTCATCGGCCAATTCTCTTTCTATTCTGATCACTTTTCCCTGCCAGGAGACTTGCTCCCGTTTCGGGAAGCTCCCTCAGGAGCACCCGGACGCCCTGGGCGGGCGATTGAGGCAGTGTGGTGTGGCAGCAAGTGCTGGGAGTGGGGCTCCCGTCCTGGCCCTGCCGTGGCCGTGTGGTTCTTCCCCATCTCAGGGTCTCATGTGCCCCCTCTGTGAAAGGAAGGCTTTGCACTAGATAGTTCCTAAGGTCCTTTTCAGCTCTGAAACCCTAGGCTCACCAAAGTATGAGCATGTTCTCGGGTCCCCCAGAGTGCTCCCTGGTCCCTGAGGAACAGCCAAATGAGGCCCCAAAGTAGTAGCTCGCTTCCCTCAACTTGGCTCCGCCCTCCCTTGGAGTCAGCTGGGGTTGGCTGGGGACCAGATTCCCCAGTGCTCTGGGAGTGGGTCTCCTGATGCACCGTCTCTGCTGCTCCCTTCTGAGAGCCAGCAAATCAAGGGCAGAGGGTGACCTTGCAGCCACTCGGCCTCAGCAGCTGGGAGGAAGGGCTCAACCCTGAACCGCTCCAGTGGCTGCGCGGTCTCTGCCCACTTTTCCTGCCAGCCCCGTCGCCCTCCTGGCCCACCCATGCACGGGAAAACCTTCCCCTCCTCAACTGTCATTGGTCCCCATCTGGCCTCTCTTCATGCTCTCTGCTCAGCATCAGAGGGCACGTACACCTGCCTGCTGTCCTCTCAGATTGCCAGCTCCTCACCCTAGGCATTACTTCTCACCCTCCATCCTGTAGGCCCCCCCGGGGTGCCAGCATCACGGATGTTGGCTGAGAAGGATGTCCTCACCCACTGCTGGGTTCCAGGTTTGATGGGAAAAGCCACAGCCTCCAGGAATCTCAGAACTGAGAGGCCTTTAAAAGTTGGCTGGTCCGACTCCCACCTGGGACCTGATGTCCCTTGAGAGGCTGACCCCGCCAGGGCAGGGCTTGCTGTCCCCAGGGGCCGACGGCTCTGCCTACATGACATCTCCTGAGAGGCTGACCCCACCAGGGCAGGGCTCACCGTCCCCAGGGGCAGACGGTTCCAGCCTGGCGGCTCTGCCTGCACAGCAGCCCCTGGTCCTGTGGCAGTGGGCTCTTGCTTACAGACAGGAACAAAGACTCCTTGCGGCTGGGGCTCTTTGTCCTACATCTACCACCGTAAGGTGCGTGTTGGAGAGCAGGGGGTCTGTGAATGACCTGGCCCCCGGGCCGCCTCCCAACCAGGGCAGGACTCCTGCCAAAGTGGACCTTGCTGCCAGCCCAGGTCTCCTCGTGGTCCCCACACACCCACTGAAGAGGCACAGAGAGGAGAGCAGCACCCAAGAGGCTGCAGGAAAGAGGTTCCGGCATTGGCCAACACTGTCCCGGGGCTGCAGGTAGACGCTTGAGCAGGGCAGGTGGCAGCAGTAGGGTCTCCGGCAGGGCCCATCAGGGCTGACACGTGGCCCTTCCAGCAGCTGCTGGATGGGGCCGGGGGAACCAGCCATTGCCCTCCCTAGTCTGCTGCCAGAGTCCACCGTCACGGTCCCCCATGGGGGCACCAAGGAGGCAGCCGCTTACAGCTTCTTCTTTCTCACCACGGGGATGGGCACAACTTGGAAGATTTTGGCCTTGTGGTCCTCAGTGTCCAGAGTCACCCAGGTGGGCCGGAAGCTGCCTTTGAAGCCGATGAATGCCATTTTCTCTGAAAAGCAGCAAGGAGTCACATGAGCAGAAACCCCAAGAGAGACGATCTATACCCCGCCACCTTCCGAGGCTCCCCATTGCTGTTCTGCAGCCCCTCCCAGCTACCTCCCCCCAGTCACACTGGACTGTCCCCCTGTGAGGATCTCTGTGCCCAGCTACTGACCATACCTGGCGTTTGTTTTTAGGGGGCCCTCAGGGTCTCCCCTGAGCCCCCACGGTCACCTGCAGAGGACAGTGGCTCTGCTTTACATGGGAGACCTCTCAGGAACCCAGCCACTCATGAGCTGGCCCATCACTGGCGAATCCTGCCCCCTCTTAAGCTCACTGTCCCCATCGGCCAACAGTGGCCTTTGGCTACAAGATTTCTTCTCTAGCTCTAACGTTCTGTGGCTTTACAAGGAGTTGTCCAAGGGCAGAGTAAAAGGTGCAGCCCGGAGCCCACGCATACTCCTGGCTGGCACTCGGAGTCCGACCGCCCGAGGGTCGTGGGGACCTAGGTTGACACTTGGGGACGGCCTAGCCTGGCAGCACTCATCTGTCACCACTGGGAAAGCACCATTTGGCTTGGGTCACCCGTGTACATCAGCTCTTGGCAACCAGGTCCTCATTTAAAAGACAGAGGCTCCAAAATGATTTCAGGCCAGGCTGGGCATGGTGCTCCCTTGGGCTCTGTCAAAGGGCCCCACTGCTCTCGCTTTTCCTCTGGGAGCTGCAGGGGACACACGTCCCGTGTGACCGGCTCTTGTTCCGATGGGCTTGCAGTCAAGATTGCACGGCAGCTACGCCCCCGGCTTTGGATTAGGAAAAGTAGGACCCAAATGCTCATCTTAAGCGAGTTTCTCAACTGCCTAATTCTCAGTTTCCTCATCATAAATGGACATGGTAGTACCTGTTGCACAGGTTATTAATGAGTAAGTGAGGTGACTATCAAATGTTCAGCAAGGTGCAAGGCTGGACGTTGCATGGCAACCGCAACGGACGTGCTCACTGTTGTCTGTGGGGCTGCTTCGCCTCCCACCCAGCCTCTCAGGACCCTCTCTGAACACAGTCTGCTACGAAGGGAATGGTGTCACGCCGACATTTCTGTCCTAGCCAGCTTCTTCCCTGTGGGGTCTGTGCTCGGCTTTTCACAGAAGAGCCGCATGACCTTGAACAAGCCACATGCATTCTCCGGGCTACCATCTTCTCCTTCCCTACCTCCCTCTGAGGAGCAAATAAGAGCTCTGAAAACTGTAAAGGGCTGTGTGCATGTTGGCATCAGCTGGCCTGCTGAGGACGGGGCTGGGCCTCTGGCCGGCCTGCGTAGCAGGATCTGGGATGGGAGGGTCAGACCTAGCCCTTCTTCTGCCGGATGTCTGTGGAAAGAAGGGCCCTTGCGGAGCAGACGGGTGACAGCTCTAGCGCTGTCCTTCCCGTGTCTGGGCGTAAGCTGGACTGAAGCTGCCCCTGTGCGGGATGCTAACTAGGCAGCCTCTTGCCCGTGGATCCCAGCTGACCCCTCATTGTGCTGAGGATTCTAGGCTGTGCCCAGGTTTGGTGAGACAGGCTTCTGGTCTCAGCAGCCCACACGCCAGGCATCTGGACTCAGTCCATGTAAGCCCAGGCCCCGCCCTTACCTCTCAGCCTGAGGCCCTCGTCTGCCCCGAGCTTCTCCAGCACTCTGGTCCACGGGCCCCTCGAGATGTATCTTCCCTTGGACGCCATGAGAACTATGGAGCTGAGGAGAAGGGAGCCATTAGAGGATGAGAAGGACAGCCTGTTGGAGCAAGGGCTTGGGAGGGATGCTGCGGTGTGTGTGGTGGGACCTGAGTGAGCAGTCCAGAGGCCGGCCAGGGGCTCGGGAAGGGCAGCGTCTCCTGCGAGCTGAGCTGACCGGCTCTTTCCGTGTGGTGACCAACATCCTGAACACCCTCCCACACGTCCGGCCGCAGCTGGCGCCCGCAGCCTGCTCCGAGCCTGCACTCCGCTCGCTGGCTTTACACGCCCGTCCCCAAGGAGGACAGAGTAGGTGTGCAGGGCACACCACCAGCTGGAGGAGGGGCGGGCGGTGGCTAGCACCTGTGCCAGGGCCAGGCACACAGGAGGACTTCCATGTGCGCTTCTTACTTGGCATGTTCTCAACCCTGTTTGGATGGAAACCTAGTGATGGAGGAAGCCAGCAGTTACCACGTCCCCGGCGGGGGCTAACCGCTCGTGTTCATGCCACCTCTCTGGTCAGGCCAGACAGCATTACTGCCCCGACTGGCAAATGGGGAGATGGAGGCAAATAGTTACTAAGTATGTGAGAGGACCTGCTTGGGTCGGGGGGGAGCCTGGAGCAACAGGGGTGCCCAGCCTGAAGGTCCAGCTCACAAAGCCCAGCTTGGGCACCAGGAGTCTCCACCCGGCCTCAGCTGTGTTCAGGCCAAAGCGCTGGGACAACAGCCCTCGTGGTGGTGGACTCAGCATGCTGGGCCAGACGGCAGGAAGTGATCACCTCCCCCAGGAATAGAACAGGGCAGAGGCCCAATGGGGCTTCTAGTTCGCATCTCAAAGGCATCCCATGACCACAGACCGCAGTCCAGACGTGGAAAAACTGTACAGGGTCTGGAACTCGTTGTTACCCCCACTTGTGTCCCACTGGGAGCAGGAGGAACGCTCTCAAAATGCCAAGGCTCATGTGCAGTCAGAACAGATGGGAAGGGGGCTGGGGGCTGCGCTTGCTCTTGGGAAGCCGGGGAGGAAAGCCCCGGGGTGGGCGGCCGTCAAGCAGCCGGAGCATCATCGCAAACACATCCTCAACTTTGGGCTTGGGCTCTGTGCCCAGGAGGCTCTTTCCCATTGCTCCAATTCAGATGAAAATCTCAAGTCCCTTTGGCTCAGCTGAGCCTTCCCGCCTGCTGGAGTGGAATTAAATAAAGGTCATGCCCTCCAGACAGGGCTGTGGGTTAGCTCCCAGGAGAGGGACACAGAGGCAGGGCTTCTCGCATGTCCCAGTCTCCTGAGGGCACCCAGAAGCCTGCCTGCCCTCTCTGGGTGTCCCTCTCTGCTGGTCTGAGGTCCTCACGACCTTCATGCGCCTGCACCTGTCAGCAGGGCGTTTCCCATGGGGCCAGGGCAGATGTGGTTCCTAGAGGCCACCCTGGACGTTTTTGGTGTGAGCAGCTGGCTCATTTCCAGGGCACTTGGGCCGGGGCTGGCCTGTGGATGGGGTGGGAAGGGTGGACAGGCCCCCACTGGGCCTGCAGTGACAGTGGGCGGAGCCTGCCTTGCCCCATTCCCTGTTCCTTTGTGGGAGGTCAGAGAGGGGTCTGGTGGTACCCAGTTCCTGCCGGGGTACCCAGCGTCAACCAGGGTCAGCTCCCACCAGGTGCTCAGTGCGGGCTCCCCCAGTGAGGTGCCTCCGGGCTGCGGCACAGGCTGGAAGGAGCTCTGGGCCAGGCCAGCCCTGCCGCTCACATTCTAAACAGACCCACTCTGCATTTTATTTCTTAATTCCAGGCTTCTGCAGCCTGCTGCATTTCAAGAAAAAGTTCTCTGGCCAAAAAAGGCATGAAAACAACTGGTCTGTAGATGATAAAATATTTTCCCCAAATCGGTACATCTGATCTTTCAGTATGAGTCTGCACGTGGAAAATGTCAAGCGGAAGAAGCTTGTGCTGGGGGAATGGAGCGGAGACTAAGTGTTTAAGAGAAACCTCATTCCCCGGAATCTCACACAGTGTCCAGTTCATGTCATGCCCACCACGCAGTCTGCGTCTGGGAAGTCCATCTGTTTCATCAGTGAGCATTTACCAACCCTGCTAAGTGGCAGAAACCACGTGAGGCACTGCCTAGACCTTCTGCTGTGCCAGGTGCTGGCTCTCGAGTGAATTCTCACCCATTCAACTAGAAATGCACATAGGAGTTAGACATGGTCCCAGCGTCCAGAAGAGCATGCCCTAGGTGGGGAGTGGACATGTCCCCAGTCCTGCTGGAGCAGCGTGTTAGTGGGGGAGGACTTCTTGTTTGGAGGGAGAGACCCCACCAAAGAGGTGATCTGTGTTAGGTCAGGAAGGTGGAGGGAAATTACCAAGGATCTCTAGGAAAGGGCCCAGCAGAGAACTGCACTGAAGAAGTTCAACCCAGCCAGTATGGGGGATGGGTTCAAATGGGGAGACTGGAGGAGGGTGGCGGCTAGGAGACTGTGACAAGAGTGCTAGTGCCACATGGGAAAGGCCCGGACAGAGTCGAGATGGAGAGGACACGGGGGAGGGGACCGGCAGGAGAGCAACAACGCAGGCAGAGTTGACGGGATCTGGTTACAGATTGTGGCCAAACGGAAGAGAGAGAAGAGCCAAGCATCATGCCCAGACTCTGGTCCAGCTATCTGGACAGGTGATGCTGATTTAATCAAAACAGGAGGAGCAGCTGGTCTGGGGGATTAAAAAAATGATGAGAATTCAGTCTCAGAGGAGATGTCCAGGTGACATTGTCCGAGCGGCAGCTGGATGGGAACTGGCGAGATTGGGGCTGGACTTACTCAACAACCACCAGCATTTGGATTGTACTGAAGGTGTGGAGAGCATGTCGAGACTGGGGAAGAGGGCCAGGGCAGGCTTCCATTTGTAACGGGGTAGACGGTCTGCCTCAGCCTCACCTACACTCACGGCAGCCCTGGCTTCGAAGAGAGGGCCACGGGGCAGGGAGGGTTCCCAGCGCCCACTGCTTGTGGGAAGACGGTAGGTGCTCCCTGACCTTCCCAGACTGGACTGTGATGAAGGTCCCGGGGACAGGGAGAGGGCTGAGGCCTGGGGTCTGCTGTGCCATCAGCCAGTTCTAAAAGTGGAGGCACGGACTTACTTGTCAGGGATGGCTGCCACGTAATTGAAGACCTGCCAGGGGATACCCTGGAGAATGGCGTTCCTGAAGCTGGCATGGCTCACCACACGCCCTTGGCTCCCGTCAATCACCACCACCTGGATGCCATCTTCTGTGCTGGGGTACCGCTTCCCATCCACCTGCAGACAAGAGCGTGAGGTGGGGTCTTGAAAGCAGCAGCCCCCTCCTGCAGGGGCTCCCACGCAGACTCTGAAGACAGAGGCTGCCTCTGCAGCTGCTGTAAGCCTGAAACCCACTTAAATCAATTCCTCCCAGGCCTGTGCAGTGAGCTGAATGATGGGCCCCCGAAAGACACGTCTTGCGGGAACCTGTGCAAGTGACCTTATTTGGAAACAGCCTTTGCAGGTGTAATCGACTTAAGGATCTCGAGATGAGATCCCCCTGGACTAAGAATGGGCCCTAAATCCAACGGTGGGTGCCCTAAAAGAGAAGGTGGAAGAGATGCAAGACTCTGGCACAGAGGCAGAGACCCCGTGAAGACGGAGGCAGAGGCTGCAGGGAGCGTCTGTAAACCAGGGGCCACCAAGGACTGCCAGCAGCCACCAGAAGCTGGAGGGGGCCCGGAGCAGACTCCCTCAGCGCCTCCAGTGGGAACCAACCCTGCTGACACCCTGGCTTTGGACTTCTGGCTTCTAGAACTGGGAGAGAGTAAATTACTGTTGTTTTAAGCCACCTGGTTGGTGACCATTTGTGACAGCAGCCTCATGCAGCCAGCACCAGCCCTCCGCAAGCATGGGACCCTCCCGTGCAGACCAGCGCCCTGCGGCAGGGACGCACTTCAATGTAGGCGAAGTTGCTCAGCAGGTGGAAGAAGGGCTGCTCGGAGCTCTCCATCTTCACCTCCAGGAAGTGGTCCTTCGTCTTCTGGAGACACAGAAAACCCGGTGTGGGTATTCGGGCTGGGGACTCAAGTGATGAGTTGTGGGTGTCATCTCCCTCATCTGCCCGCACCCCCAGGCTCCGCCGAGATGTCGGAGAGGACCCTAACTGGTCTGGGCCCGGCCGAAGGCAAAGGGGGCCCAGGCTCGCCGGCGGCCACTCACCAGCTGAGCCCCGAAGAGCTTCTTGGGCATCGGCACGTCCACCACGGCCCTCTCGGCGAACCTGGGGTAGGCGGTGGCTGTGCAGTCGCTGATGCCCGCGTTCTTGGGGATGGCAGCTTTTATCTTTATTCTCTCACAGCCTTTCACAGAGCAGAAGGCGAACTTCTCTCTCTCATTCTGAGCCTTCAGCTTCAGGAACAGCAGCCTGCACACGGAGCAGAGGTGGTGCTTTGCTTTGGCATTCGGAAGCTCCTCCTCCCCCTCCCCTCCTCCCCCTCCTCTTCCTTAGCCCCTTCCTCCTCCTCTCCATCTTCTCCTCCCTCCTCCTCCCCCAAGGACGTCCGCCAAGCAGCGTGTGCTGGCCACTGGGGTTAGGCCCAGGAGGCCTTACAAAATGGAGCTGTGTCTCCCCAGAGGATCATATGTGGTTGGAGAAACAAAGAAACAAATGCATTGAATAAAAATCTAATGTACTGACAGTCATCATTTTCTGACATGCACTATTATGCCATGCTAGGCACATGCCATAAACTGACATATTATCTCATTTACTCTTCCAACAGTCCTGTCCAGCAGGTATTGTTATCATCCTGATTTCTCAGATGGGGAAACCGTGGCTCAGAGAAGTGAAGTGACTTGCCCAGGACCACACAGCCAGGAAAGGACAGAGCTGGGACTTTCCATCCCATCACTGTGCCTGGTGAGGAAAACGCTGTCAGGTTTCCTAACTGTACTTTGCTCCAAACCATACTTTGCTTCCACTTATTGTGACGGACTGACGCTGAGCCGGTGGCAGAGGAAGACAGAGATGAGGAAACAAGGAATGAACTTGGGTCTCTTGATCATTGTTCTTTCAGCTCAGAAAAGTGCTTTCAGGCTGCTTCCCACGTCTGACAGAGCAGGTGTGACTCCACTGCAGACCCTCTCTGCGTAGGACCCCCAATGGGCCGGCCATCTGCCCAGTGAGCTGGGTCCGCATCGTGTTGCCCTCACTCCTCACGCACAGCTGACCAGGCCAGGGACACACCCACCAGGCCTGCAGGGGGACACCATCGGCTGCCCAAGGACCAGGAAGAGTCTCCCTCTCACGAATTCAGACTAAGAGACCCAGTGGCTCTTGTCAACTGCTGGTTGGTGCTTAAACTGAAAGGACACAGCGAGTTGGGGCTGGAGCAGCCGTTCTGTGCCGTGTGCTGCTGAGGAATGGGAGAAGAAGGCAGACCAGCAAGAAGCTAACACAGGAGGCCAAGCGAGCCAGGAAATGTGAACGTGAGGAGAAGAGGGAAGCTGAAGCTGGGCGGGCGCCTCGGCCCCAGGGGCTTTGTAGCCACAGCCACTGGGCTGCTTCCTGAAGATGCTTTGGGTTCTTCCCCTTCATTTGAGCTCACTGAGTGGCTTTATCAGGTGATCCCCAAATAAAATAGGATGAGAACAGGGCCCGCCCCGTCACTGCCTGGCTCGCTCTGGATGGGGAGCTGGGGGGCAGAGCGGGCGCCCCTCCGCGCAGCTTAGGAGAGAGGCAGGTCAGTGTCACCCACGGAAACACCTCACTGGTGTGGTGTCCACACATGGTCAGACACCAGGAGACCAGCACCAGTAGCGAAGTCCCGAGGGGAGGCCGAGGTGCAGAGGTGGGGCTGGTCCTCTGGCTTCTGCACAGTGCTCAGTTCTCCTCGCTGTCAGGATCTGTCAGATTATCGAGACTGGAGGAGCTAAAAGACCATCTGGCCCTGTCCCCTTATCTTACAGACAGCCGCTGCCCTCTCTAATCCCCACCTGCAGCACGGACATGTCCGTCACCTGGCCTGGAGGCCCTGGCATCAGGGAGGCCCAGGGCGCAAGTCCTGCTGTGACCAGGGAGCTTTTCCCTGCAGCGCCGCTGATGGCTGCACCAGATGCTACGCTCGCTTATGGACTAGCAGCACCTTGCTGGGGTGGCATCTGGCAGACTCGGCTATCCAGAACTCAGCTAAAATCACTCGAGTGAATTTTTTCTAACCTTGAAAAATTAAAAGAGATGATTCAGAGCTCATATATTTCACACTGCAGAACACCCTCACTTTTAACCTCTTATTTGTATTTTACCCCCAATGGTAGCGAGCTGGTTCTCGCCCACAGTGGAACAGACGGCAGCCATTGAAGGCAGGTGCTCTGAATCCGAGTAAGAGACAACACATTTATAAGGCAGAGAGACCATTAAAAACAGCCCTAAAGTTCACAAAGCCAAGAGTTTGAGCTTCTGCATAGGAAACAAACATCCATCCCATCACCCAGCTCCAGTCCCTCAGGGCACCATTGAATGAAAGCACAGCGCAATAATCAACAGGCACAGTGATCAACTGAGCTACCAGCAAAAAGGTAGAATTACGCAGCAAAATCTGCTTAACGGTAACAAGGGGAAAACCCACAGATTTTTAAATGTTTTGATCAAAAAGTTTGAACTTATTTAGGGGCAGTTTCCATTTGAAAATCCCCATCTTTGGAATATCCCATTTCCCATGAGCTCAGAAGAAGGGGGTATGCACAGATGGCACCACGAGGGTTTACCTTGCCTACATTTGGGTTTTGATCATAACACTCTCCACTGGGGCATGAGGGATGTGTAATCCCGCTCTGGTCTCCTGTGGAAGGGCTTCACAAACCGCTCCGGACCCAGGCCCATCCCTCATTCACTCCTTCCCGGAGGAGGGGGAGTGACTCACGTGACTGGCGGGCGTGGGTATGTAGGTCAGCCCAGAGAGAGCGGGAGCCCTGGTCTACCCCTCCGTACCCCGGTTTTGGGGGTTGGGCTCTATGTGGGGAGCCCGAGATTGCCCAGTGCTGCCCGGGGCTGGGTAGGTATAATCGGGGACAGTATTGGGAAGCTCTCTTCTCCGACGACTCCTCATCAGTAGGACTAAGAGGTCCCTCTTCGCCTGCTGTCTCCTCTGCCCCACGTGTGGGGCGGGGTGCTGTTTACTGTCCCCAACCCCGGCATTTTACTTATGCTTCCGATTTTCAAATTCTAGTTTCCTTTTAATCACATCAATAGAGACGAAAGAAAGAAAGAGAGAGAGAGAGAGAAAGAAAGAAAGCAGAGAGCACCTGCTGTCTATCCTTGCCCTTGGTTTCAGTACGAGGATGGAAAAATGGCTGTAAAGTGACTTCACCTGACCCCAGAGGGCTGCTGTCTGCAGCTTCATTGCTTTGCGGCTGTGTTGACGTTCTTACAGTGTTAGACTAACTCTTTCTGGGGCAGGGGACCAAATAGCTCCCGTCTCCATGAGCAGGGCCACCCCATGGTATCTGTTGAATAGGACCCAGTGCAGTTTGTCGAAGGCTGAGGGCTCTGGGTCCAGAAAGGCTTGGCTACAGACCCAGCCTTGCTAAGTCTGTGCTGCAGCCTCTGAGCAAGTCACCCCTCTTCTCTGTGCCTTCTCTGCGCATCTCTAAGTTAGAGAGGCATCGCCTGCTCCAGCTTGGTTGTCGTGAGGATTTGAGGTTATGTACCGTGTTTCCTTGATTCTAAGATTCACTGATTTCACTTTTCTGAATTAGGCATAGTCCCTGCAATCCTCGTGCATGTGAAGTGTTTGTTTTACTCCCAAAGCTGAGCAGCTTTGAGAATGTAGTGGTGGACGGTGCAGTCAGCCTCAGAATGGAAGCACCTAGGAGGGCGGCCTGTGCTGACCACGCTCCCTGCACGGTGGTCCTTAGGGTGACTGGGAGGGCCAGGGGACGAACGAGGATGGGCTGCTTTCCTGCAGCCAGACGGGCAGTCCTCACCCTGAGTCCTCGTCCCAGTAGTAGTAGCTCTTGCCGGGATGGCTCTGCTCCACTTTGTCCATCTGCAAAGTCCTCGAGAAGGTGCCCGTCTTCGTCGTCTGCTTCAGCAGGCGATTGTGAACATCCGAGAGGATGGAGAAGGTGGTGCCCCGGGGGTAGCAGAGCCCCACCCGGATCCAGTCGCCCCTAGGACAGGAAGGGGAGTCAGGTTACAAGCAAGGATGTCCAGGCCACAGGGCCTCCCGGGCGTGCGTGGAGAGAGACCAAAGACTTCCCCACCAAAGGGCACCTCACTCTTTAGTGGGGAGCTCCGAAAGAACACTTGCTATTGGAACGACTGGGTCAGAGTGTTCAAGGAGAGTGGGGAGATGGCAAATGCGGTGAACCCGGGGTCCCTGGAGCGGTCAGCTGGGCAACCCCGGGGCCTGCATTGGGCTCCGTCCGGAGCTCTGGCTGTGGGGAAAGGGCCTGGGACCTGTGGGACCTGCCTTCAGCCTCTGCCGGTCCAGCCTGACCCTGGGGCCCATTTCATCTCTGGGTCTCATTTTCCACATCTGATAAATGTCTGTGTCACAGAAATACTGTGACAGGCAAGTAACGTGGACAGAAGATCCGTGACCGTACATATGTGAGTCGAGATGCCCTTGGCTCCACCTTTCACCTCACAGACCCGTTCCCCTCTCTAAAACAGTGACATTGCTGCAGGTGTTTTCTGCCGTATGTTGAGCACTTCGTCAGGCCGGGTCCTGCCTGTCACATGTTCTCTCACTGACCCCGTTGCATCTCGCAAGGTGATACCACCCCATCTCCTAGATGGAGGGGCTGAGGCTCCAGGGGGTGAGATGCCCGGCCCGAGGTCACCCACACACAGAACAGGGCTCAGCCCAGGGCTGTGTTTCTCAACTGCGGGGTGACGTCAACCCTCTAGACGCGTCCTCCTGCAGGCACGACGTGGGCAGCCTGAGCTGCTGTGGGCGGCAAGCCCGGGACTTTGCAACGAGGCATTGCAAGACTTTTCCTTGGGCTCTGTGAGAGCAGCTGTGCCGGGTCAGGCTGCTCCTGGGGGGCCTCCACTTACTTGTTGAAGTTGATGAGCCAGATGGTGAGCTCGGCGGGGGCTGTCTGGTCCCAGTGGATGGTGTAGCCCTTCTGCAGAGTGACGACCGGCTGGTACTGCTGGTAGTGGGTGCTCCTGGTCAGGGCGCCCTCCAGGTAGAGAGGGTGGCTGGGGAAGTCGTTCTTGATAATCTTCATTCGCAGGTTGCTGGTCTTGTAGGCCTGAATGTACATCTTTTAAACCCAAAAAGGAAACACAGCCGGGCGATTACAAGGGGTTATTGCAAGAGCGCCTGGCTGACGTCTGACCGCAGCCACACTTTCAGAGGCACTTCTCTCAGCAGAGCCCTGGAGAAGGCTTGAGCGAGAGAAAGGCCAGACAAGGGGCCTCCTCCTGCTGCTGGAGGCGGCCCAAGCTGTACGGTGTGATCTAGCTAATGCCTTCTGTGCATCTTCAGAAAAGTGCTGTGTGGGGGAGACACACTGGAAACATGGGAGGAGTCTGCTTAGAGGTCAGACGGCAAACTCTGGGAGAAGCGGGGGCTCTGCAAGAAGGAGGAAGATAGAGCGGGCTTTTGCAGTTCTGCTGCAAATGCAGCTCCCTTTCATGGGCTGCTGTCCCGCCCGCATCAGAGAGAGAGCCCGGCGCTGCCCTGCTTCCCTCCATCTCAGTGTCGACCGTGTGGCCAGTACACACGGGTGTCAGCACGCACGGAGGAACGAATGGCATCTCAATACAGAGGAAAACTAAAGGCAAAACTGTCGGCCACTGAGCCCCGGGGACCAGCGAGCCCTGGAGCCTGGGCCAGCCTCGGGATAAAACACTGTGTCCTGTTTTATGACACGTCCCATGTTCACAAGGTGCCATCCCTGTAGCTGTGGCCTAGGGAGACCACCACATGGATGTGCAATAATGTTGCACCTTTGGAAGGAAGGGGCTATCTTCCCCCTCAGTTGTGCCACACGCCACATGGAAAGAGATACCTCAAGCCTGCCCGTATATGGAGTTGCCACGAGTATAAAAGTTTAAAGGTACATTCAACTTCATTTCATAAGCTGTAAAGTGAAGGGGGGAGGTTATTAATAATAATTAACCAGTAGCCAGTCACGATAACTTGGCAAGTTCTAAGGGAAGACAAGCGATGTATCAGAAAGGAAGAGTGGGAGGGAAGACCAAGATCAAGATTCCACGTGGGCCATCTCGCCCTTGAATCAGAGATGCCATGTAATGCCCAAAGTATGGATTTGAGGCGTAGGGTCTGGTCACCCTTCAGTCATTCAGGGCATGACTCCCATCATTGACTGCCTTCTGACTCAGCTTCCCAGCCCGCGCTCCTTCCACACACCCCTCATCAGCACTTTCCACTCCACCAGCTCCTCCAAACCTCATCGCCTCAGGCCCCTCTGCCTCCTCAGCTCATGACCTCACCTCTGCTGCAGAGAGGGGCGCCCGGGACGCCCTGCCCCAACGGCCCTGCCTCCTCTGGGCCTCCTCCTGCTGGACGCCGCTCCTCCCCCCTCCGCTGGTACCTGTGCCCCTGTGCCCACCCTGCCCTGGCCCTGTGCCCCCAGCCTCGCACTAGCTCCTCCTCCATCTCTACCCAAACCCCACTCTCCCCTGTAGCCCTTTTCTAACCCTGGCGGCCACAGGGTGATAACAGGGTGGCTGTGAGGACAGCCTCTTTATTCACACGTTTCCTGTCCCTTGGGCCTCTCTCCTCTTACTCTTATTCACCAGCCATTCATCCAAATAATAACGTAACCAACACATGATAATAGCAAACTAATACTTTCAGCTCCAGCACATTGCAGGCCCCCCCTCAGCCTGTGCCGTCCCCTGCAACAGCCATTCCTGTGGCCACTGAGCCCTGGGACCGTGGCCAGTGTGGCTGAGGACCTAAATTTTAAATTTTATTCTAATTAATTTAAATTTCAAACCAAAAAGCAGTGTAAAATATTTTCCATTAAACGCAACTTTACGGTTTTGTTGAAATTTTGCATCCACATTAAGAGAGCTCTAAGTATAAAATATGCAGTGGATTTTAAAGACAGAACAAGAAAAATATATAAAGTGTCTCATTAATGATTTTCTATATTGATTACATGTTGAGATGATCCTATTTTGAGTCTGTTGAGTTAAATAAAATGTATTCTTAAAATTGATTCCACCTGTCTCTTTTTCCTTTTTCTCATGGCTACTAGACAATTTAAGACCACACATGTGTTATATTTCCAGGGACAGGCCTGGTGAAGCACTTCATACTCATTATATGAACCCACCCCCCATTCTCATTAAGAGGTTCAGCCACTCTCCTGATTTTACAGATGAGGAAACTGAGGCACCAAGAGGTTAACTTGCCCAAGGTCACACAGTCAGTCAGCGCCGGGCCCAGCTGGAAGGCCAGCGTCTGACCTCAGTATGCTTTCTGTAAGCGTTCTGCTAACAAAGTGTTTCCACTTTGATCTTTTGAAACCCTACTGGGTGAGGAGGAAAAATAAAAAGAAGAAAAAAGAAGCCGTAATCTCTTTCTGGCCCTGCACGGAGTGAGCAATGGTGACACCCGGGGGGGCACGACCCTTGTCCCCACCTGTGCGTAGCGCCCGCTGCAGATGGCCCCTCTCCAGTCCGGGACGTCGATGCAGTCTGGGTGCCGGACCAGCCAGTTGTCATCCTTGGTGAGGTAGGAGCCCGGGTACTCAGACACGGAGCCGTCGACATCATGGAACACTGACGTCTTGTCCCCGTCCATGTCCAGCTGGTTGAACCAGGGCCCAGGCTCCCCGAAGAACACTCTGGAAGTAATCTAAACAGAGCCCAGGAAGTCAGGCTGGGCCGGAGGGTGAGGGAAGCTGCAGCCGGCATCCAGCCACGGTGAAGTTTCCGGTTTCCACTGACATTACAGGCCAGCCAAACCAGAGGTGCTCTCGGGCACCGTAGGAAACGCACAGCTGACCTCTCAAACGGAGCTGGAGAAATAGCCACACGCTCCCCGGGGCTCTGCTCTTGGACCCCCCACGTTATTTGGCCTCTGCTCATGGGAAGGCTGGCTGCTGCGGGTGACCCAGAAGGGTGCTCCACTGCCCAGTCAGAATACAGAGAGAGGGAGGGGTACGTGGGAGTGTGTGTGCGTGTGTGCGTGTGTGTGTGAGAGAGAATGAGACTGAGGCGGTGGGGAACGTTTGTATGAGAAAGTACACAAACACACACACACGGGGATGTGTGAGCGTGTGGGTGTTTCAGGAAGACAGTCTTTCAACACGAGCCCTTGGAGATTTCCATGACTGACCTCTTTCAGACCTGCAGCGGCCTGAGTAAAGAAATTAAGTAACTTAAGTTTCACAGCTTTCCCCGCGCAGCCTGCCAGGAACCGGCAGCTGGGCGAAGGGCAGGAGCCCGGGGAGGGAGGAGGGCCTAGGAAATCCGCGATCTGAAGAGGATGCGCCAGGAGGCCTGGGCTGCCCGGACCTGCTGGCCCTGGCCCTGGTCTGTCGGCTGTCTCGGGTGGGGGCCCCTGTGTGTGTTCCACTCTCAGGGAGAAATTAAACAGAGCGTCTTCAGCTAAAATTCCCTGGCAGACTGCTGGGTTTTTAGATTAATTGTGCCAACCCAGGTGGCCTGGTCACAAGACTCAGTAGGTCAAAACCAAGACCTTCGGAGGAAGAGCTGGGGACGCTGGGTCCAGCGCAAGCTTCCTCAGGAGGCCTGGGCGGGTTTTGAGCCGGGTTGGGCGAGCGGGCATTGGCCAGACTTGACCTGTGGGGCAACCTAGGCTTGTACTTTTCCAGTGTGGATGCAGACAGAACTGGGACGTGGCCAGCCCGCTCGGAGGAGGCTGCTCAACCCCTGTGGTGGTGGCGATGGCCCAGACTCCAGGCCCTGGGGGACGCGTGAATCACCACCCCGAGTCTGCTTTGCCGGGAGCCTGCCCTGCCGCCTCACTCACCGGGACGTCCTCAAAGGCAATGCTGGTCACGTTGTTGTGGGGGCAGCTCTGCCAGGCGTTGTTCAGGCGGAAGGCCAGGGCGCTGGTGTGCCGGCCCTCCAGGGCCGCGAACTTGCGGAACGTGCAGTTCTGGATGTTGACGGGCCCGTCGTAGAACTGGATTCCTCGGATTGGAAAATTCCTGGGGGGTCCAGGAGGTCAGAGGTCAGGCTAACTGCCATGTCGTGCCACCACACTGTTGCCCCCTCCGAGGTGGATGGTGACGAGACCCCCTGGGTAAACCATTCCTGATCCCCCCCAACAACTCCCTCCACTGAAGAACGTTATTGATTCATTAATGAATTCACTGAGAAGGCGTTGATGGCCACAGTCGATGACAAGAAACAGTTGCTGGGTGAACTGTTGGATGGATGGATGGATGGATGGATGGATGGATGGATGGGTGAATAAATGAATATCTGTCTAGTTGCTGGCTTGGGGTTTACGGTATATTCAAGCATTTTCCCCAGTTCTTCCATCCTGTGAAGAGTCACTGGGTAAATACGTCAGTGCTGCTGCAGAGGGCCAATCCCAGGTCCCCTGGGAGAGCAGAGTCATTAGTCATTATTGCCTAGTCTTGGTTGCTGTAACAGTTTAATCAGAGGAGACCCAGAGGAGCTTCCTCTCTGTGAGTGAGCCCTCTGATTGGGAGGATGCGGGGTTTGGGAACAGAGGGCAGAGGAAGGACACAGAATGGAAGGTGATAACAGTGTGGTGGAGCAACTGCGATGTAACTTGTCAAACATCCCTAGCAGAGAGGGCAGGTCCCCCAGGGAGTGCGTGACTATGGGCTCCCAGAGACCCCAGGAGGTCCTGTACCAGGAGGCAGGGAAGGATGTGGGAGGAGGCGGCAGATGGGGACGGAGGGCGCAGGGACTGAGGTAGACGGTGACTGCTCCTCGGACCCCGCAGGGGCAGGGTGCTCAGGGGCGCGTCCTCATCTGCCTCGGCCTCCTGAGCAGGTGTGGAAGCGAGGGCCTGGAGGGGTGGTTGGGCTTGCTGGGGCCCCTCTTGGGCCTGGCCCTGGATCTGGCTTCTCATCCTGCACGCCCAAGTTGTATGCTTCTACTGGTATCTCTCCCTCTGGGCCAGGCCCTCTCCTTCCACAGCAACATAAAGAAGAAAGGGCAGAAAGAGGGGGGAGAAAAGCAGAAAAGGGGTCTGTCCCTGGGGAGAGACCACATTCCCGCCATCCCCAGTCTTCCTCCTGGGGTCCCCTCCATTCAGACTCGGATCCCCGGGGGAGCCCCTAGTCCCGCAGTCTCGGCCATGTGCCTCCAGCGGACACCAAGGACTTGTTGCGTTTCCATATTGTTGTATTTGTAATTGATTAACGTCCTCACCTCGAATCCTGATTCTCATGCAGCGGCTCTGTGCGTTTTCCATTTAAGGTATTTTAGGCACAGCCCGTTCTCACTAGCTCTATATTTAAACTGTGTGCTGACTGTTCCTTCAGACCCCAGCCCGGGCCCATACGGGATGAATCACCCATGATCCGGACGGCTCGGTCCTAGGTTCCAGCTCACAAGTGCAGCTCGAGGAACCCGCCTGAGTCTGACAGAGCTGTCAGGCCTCCATAAACAAACCCACCTCTGGAAGCCGTCGGAACATTCCGGCCCAGGAGGCTGATAACCCTCAGCAGAGCAACCCCAAATAAGCAGACCCAGAGCTGCTCATAAAAACAATCTGAAGGGACTGCCGCCGTGCTTAGTTTACATAGAAGCGAGGGCTTCTCCCCAGCTCGCTCTGCCTGCAAAGTCTTCTCGCAGATACACACCTGCTCGGGCTGGGAGTTCCAGGCTGTGTCCTGCCTTAGAGGTAGGAATTAGATCTTCCCAGAGAAAGAGGAGAAAGCTCGGGGGCAGGAAGGGCTGACCTGAGCCCTCGGAGAACAGGGCCTGCCATGCTGCTGGCCGGCTCAAACCTTGCTTTCTGGCCTGAATTCACAGCTGAGTAGAAACACCAGCAGAAGGAGGAGAGACTCCCTCCCCACTGACCCAGGCTGCGGCCCCCTGACAAGCTGACCGGATCCGTCTGCTGTGTCACTCTCCAAGTCACCCCCTCCCTCTCCAGCCACCTGGTCAGCCTCCAGCCTCTGTTCGAACCCCTCCAGCAAGGGAGAGCCCCTCGCTCTGCAGGGCAGCCCTATGTCCTGTCGTCAAACAAACCTGACCGTTAGAAAATGCTTCCTGCGCCAAACCAATTCTAACCTTCGCGTCCACGCAGAGCGAGTTTTGCCTTACATGCGCGTGGCAGCCCTGACAATGTGTGACAGCACCTCCCATGCTGTTCCCCCAAGTAGGATCCCATCTTCTGGTTGAAGTTCCCAACCTGCACGTGATGTGGCTTTGGGTTCCGTCCCCCTCCTGGTTAGTCTCCTTCGAGGGTGCTTTGGCCTGACTATCACTCAGCCATCATCGGAAGTGGATGAAACGCTCCAAGTGGGTGTGCCGTCAGAGGAGAAGGGATCCCACTGTCGCCGATCCTGGGCACTAAATTCCCGTTAACGCGGCCCCAAACCATAGCATTTTGATAGCTATGTCCCCTGACTCATATGCAACACAGGTTTTCGATTTCTCTCTCCCGCTGGATTTCCCCCACTGCTGGTTAACCCCAGTTGTTTTAGTGACTGCTCTGACCAGCAGAGGACAGGAATTCATAGTCAACAGGTGGAAGCCACATCCTAGCATCTCTCCTTTCATTGCTGATGCTTAGGTTGAGCCACTCAGAACAAGGAAGCTGCCATGGTTGCAAACCTACTGGCCTATGGGAAGGGTCCTTCCACTGTGGTCCAAGCCGCCTGGGCCCCAGATCCTGTTGTCCATCATCTCTGTCCCCACGTTGCCACTCTCACCAACAAACAGGCTGTTCTTTATCTCCTGCTTGGAGCCGTCGTCGTATGGGAAGGTTCCACCACTGCAGAGAGAAGATGTCTGAGAAGAGATGTCCAGAGACAGCCTCCTACAGAGGGCCAAGCACACAGACAGTTGCTCTTACCTGGCCAGGGTCAGGCCGATGCCATTGTCAGCAAACCTGCAAACAAGAGCAGACAGTCAGAGCATGCTCTCGCTCCACGTGCAGTGACGCTGTGGAGGGAAGGACCCTACCCTGCCCTGCCCGGGAGTCACACGTGGGTCCTGTGTGGGACAGGAGTTTACGTGAGCAGAGGGTTTGCTCAGGGAGCTGTGGTCTCTCCCATTCTGTATAGTAAGGGGACGTCCCAGGTCCCCTCCCACTCCATGTCTGATGCCTCTCAGCGCCTGATGCCACAGTGCATCAGCAGCATGCAGACCGGGCTCTGGGAGGCTGAACGTGGCCCACTCTCAGGGCCAGTGCTGGGTAGGGTGGGGTATGTGGCTGCAGTCCCATTTCCCCTTAGCCATCTACTGCTGATTCAGCCACAGCAAGCAGGACACACAGTTAGCTGAGTTCCGAGTTTCCCAGAAGCCAAGCGGACGCTGCCTGAGAAGGGCAGGACGTCATTTTTCAATTGTGCTGTGGCCGTCTCATCAGCTCCCTTTCGCCGCGGTGCCCTTTGAGGGTCAGGAGGAGCACGCTTCTGCAAGGAATCTGGCTGTGAGTGACGAGGGAGCACATACAAGCTGAGCAGAGCCTCGGGTCTGCCCAACCACAGACCCTGGAACCAAATATGGCGGCTGCCTTGCTCCCTGTGTCCCAGGGGTGGATGTAACCGGTTCCCTTCCACCTGTCCAGCACACCTGCCAGGCCCATCTCCTCAAAGTGCCATCTCACCAACACTCCTGCTTCCTAAACTCCAGTGGCTTCATATCATCCATAGCCCTTGGCCCACATCCTTGCCCTGGGCTCCAGGCTGTGATGAGTCCACTTTCCCTGGGCTGGTCCTGGTGGCCTAATGGTCTCCCATTCCTGCCTGCTTCCGCTCACCCTGCTCCCCTCCTCCAGGACACCTGTCCTTCTCCCTTGGCCTGAAGCCCCCCCCCCCCCCCCCCCCCCCCCCCCCCCCCCCCCAACCCCAGTTCACATCAGTCACTGCAGGCCGTCTCCCAGGGCAGGGTGCTCTCCAGCTCTCCCCGTCCCTTCATGGCTTCTCCTTCCCGTCGCTGTCCCCCAGTGCTCTGCCCGAGGTCCGCTCAGGCTCCACTGCGTCCCTGGGGACGTCACAGAGACTCAGAGCTCCCATTGCCACCAGTCCACTGCTGACACTAAAGTCAACTGCTCTTCCCGTCTGCTCTTCCAAGATTTGGGCTATTTCCACTGAATATCTCAAAAGCATCTCAAGGTCAACGTGTGTAAAACACCATTATCTTCCCCCTGAGCCCGTTCACCATCCCGAAGCCTGGGTCTCAGCTACGCCCCCATCATCTGTGATCCTCTCGCAAGGACCATGGCAGTGGCACCTCAGTGATCTTTCCCACCTCCGGGAGGGCCCCCTCCCACCCCTGCCTGCATCTGGTGGTTGCTAGAGCGACCTTTCTGGGATAGACACAATGGCCAAATTTTCAGAGCCCTTGAAGGGACCCCATCTTCCGTCAGCCCCTGACTGTGCCAACCCTGCACCCTCGTGGGCCTGCAGCCCCGGCAGCAGCCAGATTCTGGGAAACTTGGAAGGAGTCTGGTGGAGGGTTGAAGATCCACTCCCATTGGCAGGGGCCTCAAGTCTGTCTTGCCCCCCAAGTCTGGCACCCACTGTCTTGCGGGTACCTGAACTCCCAGCAAACCAGACCAAATATTCACTGGACTCAGAACACTGCAGAGAATTCAGCGCTGGTGCCACCTGTTTTCTCCTTCACTCACCTCTTGCAGATTCTCTCTCTCAAGTGTCCTTGGGTCTCTACTCTGGGGACGAGCAGCTCACATTACTCACTAACGTCTTGTATTGCAGGAACGTTCCTCCTTCCACTGAGCTGAAATGTGCCCGGTGCCCATAACTGCTGCCCTCCAGAGCCAACCAGCACAGGCCTGCCTCAGTGTCCCCTAGATGCCCTTCAGAAACCCAGAATTGGCTCTCCTGTCCCCTTTCTCCTCTTCTCAAAAGTCATGACTTCTCTGACCCACGGGAGACGAAGGCCCTCCCATTTCTCTGCGGGCGACACTTCCCTTGCATCCGTGTCCGGCTCTCTCTGGGGCTGCCTGGGGCTCCGTCAGTGTCTGTCCCTCCCTGGCTTCTGCTTTTCTGAGCAGCCTTTCCCTCTCTCTGCCTCTCTCTCTGTGCACGTGTGTGAATTCTGTGTCTGTTTCCTCCTCACACACTTTCACATCCTCTTGCTCCCTTTCACCTTTATTTCTCCTTTAATCAGACACAATAAAATGGAGACATACACTTATTTCCTACACAGAGCTTCTGATCTCCCATTTCTAACATGAAGGTAGACAAGGAGAACATTTCATGACACTCATTTAAAGCAAATCCCGGCTGAGCTGCCTGTCCCTTCTGGTCCTTGTCCGTGTGGGCCGGTGGCTCTCCGTGGGGACCTTATATCAGGACTCAGGGTTCCTTGTCTTCTTCGTTTGGGCCTTGGAGACCAATGAGCTGAAACTTCAAGTCTCGGTCCAACCACTTACTTTTGGGAAATTCACTAAACTGAGCCTCAGTTTACCATCTCTAAAATGGACATGATAATTTATGTCTTTGAGAAACATGCTAAGAAATAAGTGTAACCAAGGATTCAGCATGTAGTCGGTGCCTAGGACATGCTGGTTTCCTTCTTCACCCTTCTGTTCACTGACTGGCTGTGTGGCCTGAGAGAGCCAAGCCCAGTGGCTATTTGGGGGCAGGTCATGACCCATAGCTCCTGGCCTTGTAACTGAAGCCATATGCTGTTTTTAGATGTTTTTTGGGGTCACTGCCTGCTGCCGTTCTATGCCCCTGCCTGGTTGGGGGACCAGAAGCCAAAGGTTGGCGTGCTTTGTGTCCCTTCTCTGCCTTGCTCTCCTCCCCACCACCCCCCCCCCCCCCCCCCCCCCCCCCCCCCCCCCCCCCCGCTGGAGGATGAGCATCGTCCGCACTTTGTGTCAAGGCCACACGGCTCTCTACTCACCGGCAGCTGTCCAGCCACACGTCCCCGCCGCGCAGCCAGGCCCCGTGGTCCTGGTTCTTGTAGGCAGTGAAGTGCTTGATGATGGCGGGCTCCCGAGGCTTCAGCGGGTCGGCATCCTGGTGAGGGCTGTATCTGGAACACACCACGGGGAGAGCTCCCGAACTGACTCCCCCCTGGGCTGTGAGCTTGTCTGCTCACGGTGCCCAGGAAGACTCTGACTACACAGCAGCCAACTCGCACCCCTGGGTCTGGATGAACTTTCTGAGCTGGACACAGAAGCAGGAGGTCTTTTCCCGAGGTCCAGCCCTGTGCAGGCTGTGGACACGTCACCGCCCTTGTTCGTGAGCACCACTGAGCAGCCCTCCCCAAACGGCGTCAAAGCACAGAGGAAAGTTCAGACAGCCAGTCCCAAACCCAGCGTGCAACACAGCCCACTGATGGGGTAACCGTGCCCTGGGCCCTCTCTGGGCTTCTGTCTCTTAACTACAAAACTGAGCACTGAGTCTGGACTCTTGCTGATGTCCAGTCCAGCAAAAGTCTTCTGTGGACACTGTCATGTCACTGTGTTACCCACTTGGATGGAGAGCAAGCACCTTCGCCCCTTTAAACGGTCCTGGTTTTCCTGACAGCCTTGAGGATTGGACAGCACCTTTTAAAAGCAGCCCCTGGCCTTCGGCTGAGCTCCAGGTTTATTTGTAGGTACGACCTGCATGCTCCTTCCTATTAAATTGATGGTGAAATTCTTCCCTCTTCACCTTTGATCCCGGCTGACCTGCCGTGGCCTGGCCGTGCCTGCTGACTTTCTGGCTACTGGCTTTTACCAAAAGATCCAGAACCCTCTCGGAATTTCTGTTTCCCTCCGGCTGCTGGGGCCTAGACCCTAATTCAGATTTTGCCCCGCTCATGTTTTCACCACAGTACCCCAGCATCTAGTTCAACGCGCAGGACATAGAAAGTACTCGACAGAGACCTGACGAATGAATGAATGAATGAATGAATGAATGAAGGGAACGGGGCCGAGCTGAGAGGTTGCCCTGGAGTGTGCGTGTCCGAGGGTGATTACCTGGCAGAGATGATGGAGAGGAAGGGCCGCTTGTCCTTCGCAGAGGCCTCTGTGGTTTTCACCCCGTTGTCTATGATCATGCCAGCCTGGGGACGGAGGACATTCAGGGACACGTTGGCCTCTGCTGCATGCCAGGCACCGCCTCACCCAGCCTCGCTGCACACTCTCGAACGCCCCAGTTACACCCACTTTGCTCTCAGGATGTGTTAATGGAAGCAGGGGGTCTGCAGGGAGGGAGGTGAGGAGCTCGCATTGTTCTGCATTGTTCAGCTCAAATTTGGAATAAGCGTCCTCTCCGAGGTGCAGATGAGGAAACTGCGGTCTAGGGGCCTGAGGATCTTGTCCAAGGCCACACAGCCAAGTCCACGCCCAGCACCCACAGTGCTTTGGGCAGTTACGAGCCCGGGCCCCAAGTCAAGGACGACAGGTACGCATGCGTGGGAAATGTGTCTGCAGTGATTTAAATAAAACGCTTGACTTAAGTCTCATCTTTCCCTGGGACAGGGATCTGTGGTCGTCCCAGGGTCTGGTCTTGGTTCCTGCCTGACTCCAAGACAACCTCACTGTCTCATCTGGCTCCAAAGGCGCCCCCTTTGTCAGCCCCGGGCAAGACGGGGCGAGGCAGCTGAGCGACGCTGCCGGGAGGCCACGGTTGGTCTTCCCTCATCCCTGACCCCCTCGGCCTCCTGGGGAGGCTCAAACTTGGGTTTCTCCTCTTTAGACAATCGGACGGCACTGACCATTGCCTTCCACAGCTGACTCATAATGAAGCGTGGTGACACGGGTCAGAAGACGCGGGGCTGGACTCCCAGCTCTTCTCTGGGCTCTGGCTTTGGGGCAGTCCCTTCCCCTCTCAAGCCCAGTCGCAGCCTCTGTAAGTCGGGCTCACAACACCGATTTCCCAGGATGGCTGTGAGGACTGTGTAAGCTAGCCCAGGCGCAGGGTCCTGGAGCAGGACCCTCACATGGTGGGTGTGGACTTGGGGCTCCTGGGTGTGGACATGAAGCGCGGGCTTCCTCCTATGCTTACAATGAGACCAGTGAGCTCGGGGCTCCTCCCGGCTGCTTCCTGCCCTGCCACCCTCCCCCAGGCCGTCCCCCGACCTGTGCCCTGTGCCGTCAGTCCTCAGTCCTCACCTGGTTCTGTGTTGGAGACCCCCTCCCTCACATATTCTTCCCCTTCTCACCCTCCCGGAACACCGTGCACCTCGGGGCCCACCCCTGCTCACAGGAGGGCGTCTGGAGGGCGGGGTCTCCAAGAGCAGCAGCACTCTCTCCACTCCCCTCGCTGCCCCACAGCGACGCGGCCTCTGCGCCTGTCCTGCGTGACCACAGCTCTCCGAGGCCCACGGCCCTCAGAAGCGCCCACGTGAGGCCCGCCCTCCTTCTCTCTCCTCTGCCTGTCTCCCTCCTCGCCTCCCCGTCTCTGTGAGACTCTTCTTTCTCGCCTTCTGGGACACAGCTCTGCCTGGGGCTGGTCCCCATCTCCGCCCAGACTGCCCAGCGCTCCTCACAGCCTGCTCCCCACCGCCCCCCCGAGGTATAAGCACAGGTCCATTCTGAGATCATTTCTCTTCCTAATGGTCTTCTTCCTGGTCAGGCCCTTTTTTTTGATCCTGAATGTGTTCATTCCCGCTGGAGGCCTCAGTTTCCTCATCTGTACCATCAGGGATTGGACCAGAAGACCAGGCTCAACATTCAGGGCTGCGTCAATGCACTGTCCTGGCATCAGGGAGACCGCCTCGCCCCCAGAGCCGTGTCTCTGGTCCCAGCCTCGTTCCCGAGCTCCACTCCCTCCTCCCGGGACTCTGATCTTGACACTGCCCTGGCTGGGGGTCCTCGACACAGCCGAGACCCAGTCCCTTTCCCCGGCACCTGGCTTGGTGCTGGACCACAGGACTATTGACGGGTGACGAGGATGGCCAGGGCATTGCTGCTTCCCGCCTGCCTCCTCAGCTCTGCCTGGACCAGCAACCCATCTCCCAGGAACCAAACACAAGGGGACAGAGGGGAGGATGCGAACACTGGTCCACCCGCCTTCGGACCGCATCCTGACTTTCTCCAGCTTAGGGCTCAGGCCTCACTTTTCACAGCCCACAGTGCACCATCCCCTCCAGTGAACTGCAAACCAACTCGCCCAGCTCAGGAGGAGGAGGAGCTCCTGCCGCGGGCCCAGGCGAGGGCGTCTCGCTCCTCTTTTTATTCTGGCCAGATGCGAAGTCAGCACCAAGGCAGGACCAGCCAGAGGAGAGTCCTGCCTCCACGGCCAGTGGCCTGGGTGGCCTCGGAAGGCGGCTTCACTTTCTTCAAGACCGATGCCAGGAATGCATCATCCCCGCCGTGGCCAAGCAGCCACTGGCTCTGACCATCGCGATGCCGGGCTGGAAGGCGACCGCGGGGCACGCAGTCTGCACAGGCTTACCCGGTAGTTGGAATGCGCCCGGTTGTTGTGGAATCTTCCCAGTGGAATGTGCTCTGAGTAGCCGGGCGAGTACATCCCCTCCGAGGGGCCCGTCGGGACGTGGTGAAAGATGAACCAAAACCCGGTTTCCTATTGGGGGGGGCACGGGGGAGCCACAGCATCAGCACCAGCCAGGCCTCACCGGAAAGACAGGATGGCCCGGGTAGGGGTCTAGTACCACCCCCACCCATCCCTGAAGACTGCCCCCTGTGGCCCAGGTCTTGAAGGAAAACAGGGAAAAGTTGGAGGCAAACATATTTTGTGGGTCCACCCTGACTGTTAAGGCCTTCACAGGGCCCTCCCCTCTCTGCTGCCACCGCTGTGGGGCCACCGCCTCCTCCTGATGCACAGAAGGACTTCCCCTCTCATTCCACAGACACGGATGCCTAGGCCCAGAGCCAGCACCTGGGCTGCTCAGGTCCCCTGGGGGGCAGTGGGGAGGGGTGGGCACGAGCAGGGCCGTGTGGACAGACTGCCACGTCTGCATGCCGTGCGTGCCCCAGGGCACATGACCTGTCCCTGCCTTACTGTCCTCCCCTGTCAGGTGGGAGGTGGCAGTACTTTACCTGCCTCATAGGGCAGATTCATGAATTGAATTATTTTAGCCTAGAACACTGATGTGCCAGACACCGTTCTAAGCTACAGTAATTTCAATCTGATAGTGAGTTGCGACATATACTTAGTACTCAGTACTTAGTACTCATTAGCCGTGATCACCAGGGTGATGAAGAGACAGAGCCATCACTTAAAATCGGTCCATCTGACTCCCAGTCGGGCATTTTTCTTCTTCATTCCCAGCCTGACTACACAGATATCGAGACTCGGGGCTCACAGCACACATATTTCAGGATCAGCCGAGCCGTCTCCTACCCCCAGCCCCATCCCTACTTTCTGCCCAAGCATGGGCGTTTCTGCTCACCTCAGACCCTGCAGCAGCACAGTTTATGAGGTTGTTGTTGGGGTTGGCCATCCAGAAGGTGGACACAGCACTGTGGGAGGGGCAGAGATTGACAGCGTCACACAGGAGGCCGCCAGCTCCCGTCCCGCTGCACCCATGGGCCCACGTCAGGCACGCTAACATCGTTTCGAAGAGCCGATTATCAGTGATTTGAGAAACCCTTGATTTGTTGATCTGAAACCCTGTTCTCTCGTTAAAGTGTGATGCCTTTAAGCACTTAAAACTGTCAGAACTTGAAGGGGCCTGGCTCGTTAAGGTGGAAGCGTTTGTGGGTGAAGCCCGAGATTGGCTCTGAAATCAATGTAAGTGGAAGCAGCCAGGAAAGCGGCCGTTTCTAAGGGAGAGGCTGACCGCGGGGGAAGCACCTCTCTGACTCTGTCTGTCTCTGATGTCTAGAACGGATCAGTGTGGCTGGGGTCTACCTGTCCCTGCTGTGGGAGCCGCCGTGGCAGCCGCGCCCTCTCTCGGAGGAGCACGGTGGCGAAGGAAGAGCCTGAGGATGAGAACAGTAGTTCTCTCTGGACAAGAACATGCACACGAGGCAAACTGAGCAGGGAGACGTAGAAAACATGCTCCTGCCTCTCCTGAGAAGCTGGGAGCCGGCGGGGGTCGCGACTGTGAGGTCTGAGCCGCCCAGAAGCCCAGGAGCGCAGCGTCCGAGGCTGAGCGGTCACTGGGCACGTGCTGCCTGGGCCGCCCTGGCATAGGCCTGGAGTGGCGCACGGCGCAGAGAGGGGCACTTACTTGCAATCCTGCCTGGGCTTGGGGATGTACCCCGGGTAGGAGTCTTCTGTGATCGTCTTGCACATCTTGCTGTCGCGGTCGGAGGGGAGGAGGGTTCCAGCCTTGACAAGGAGGCCAAGGCAGTGGTCAAAGGTGTTGCGTTCCTCCGGCCCATCTTCCGTGAAGAAGCAGTGGCCCAAAGAGTTATATCCCACAACGTCCTTGACCTGCAGGGGTCAAGACAGGTGACATTTCACCCAGCGCTCAATTATCCATGTGCTCATTCACTCAACAAACATTACACAGCATCGGCCGTACACCAGACCCCACGAGGAGCACCGGGGGTGGAGTTGGACCTGACATGGGTGTCAGAGGATGGAGCACTAGCTTTAAAGTCCCTTCCAGCTGGAGGTGCTGGGGCTGAGGCTCTGTGGGGTGAGAAAGGGGACAAAATGTTAGAAGTGGGTCCCAGAGGACGCCATAGACTAGGTCACATGAGCCCCTCTGGTGAGGACGCAGCGAGGACACAGCTGACAAGGACTCTGTGGAGCGATTGCACAGAGAGGGTTCCACTAGGAAGGGTGGTGGGGAGGGCTTCCCCTGGGAGGCAGCCTCTGAGCTGGGCCAGGCGGGCATCTTCCAGTAGGAATGGTGTTGGTGTCCTCACTGTGCCCTCACCCACGCGTCCAAGTCAGCCTGGTAGCCCATCCTGCCCATCAAGTCACATTTGCGACCCCTGGGCCCAGAACCAGGAGGGGCTGCAAACTCCAGCTCTTCAACATCCTTCTTGGAATCACAGTCAGTGGGGGAGGCAGGACCATTCAAGACATCGAGAGACTTAGGCACCATCTTAGCCGTGCATCCAACCAGCACAGGGACCTTAGACCAGTCTCTACTCACTTTTCCTCCCACAAGTGAAGGCCCGAACTCCACAAGCTCTGAGGCCCCTTCTGTAGAATGCTATGAACTCATCAATCTCAGAACTAACTGGGGGCCTCGGAGGGCCTCCAGCCTGAGCCCTACTCCTGTCCAACGCCAGACTCTGTTCACAAGCGTCCCCAACCAACCGGCATCCTGTTTCCTCTTGAACACCCCAGAGATGAGATGCCACCCCACTCCAGAGAGGCTCTCTGTTCTCTCGGACAAGCTGCTCTCCCCTAACCTTTGGTGAGAGGCATGGGCGTGATCGTGAACTCTGTTCAGTCAACACCAAGGCCGTCCAATGGGCGAGCTCCCGTTTCTCCATGAAAGTCTGTTATAAATAGCCTGGAAAGGCGAGCAGGGGCGGACAAGGCTCAAGGTGGCCGGGACACCTGAGAGCAAGTTCAATGCCTTCACTTCAGAGGAGGACACTGACGCCCAGAGAAGGGACGCCCACCGACCTTGTGGTGGAGCCGTGTTCAGACCCAGGCCCCCCGCCTCCTGCCTGCTGTACCCACTTGCCCGCTGTCTGGATCCCACATTGGGCAGCCCTCCCTGAATGTGAGTAATGAATTAGGTACATTCTTACGCTAACAGACCCTTGAGGCTACGGGGAGGAACGCCTCATTGAAAGAAAGAAAACTCATACTGTTTACTGGGTGTCAAATGTTTTACACACGTTATCTCATTTAATCTTTATCACAACTACTGTCACCTTTCTACAGATGACACTGCTGCCCAGAGGCATCTCCCTCGCACGGACAGAAGTGAGACTTGGTTCTCCATCTGTCTGACTCCACAACTTGTGTCCCAGTTGATTCTCCACAGCACCAGAGAGAGAAGAAGAAAAAAACCCCGCTCAGTTTGTGTTGCATTTCTTTCTCCTCGTTAGCAGCGGGGTGAGGCGGCATATAGAGTCGAGAGAGAAGCACAATGAGATAGAAGAAAGCCCTGAGCTGGGAGGAGAGGACACGGGTTCAAGTCTTGGCTCAGCGATGAGCTTGCAATGACGTGTGACAGGGTGACCTCTAAAGCTCTTTTTAGCTCTAACATTTTACAATCGTTCTCCCCCAGAACAGCTCCTGGAATTAAATATTTAAACTGTGACATCACTTGAGATAGATCGATCGATAGATCCATAGACTCTAGCCAGATAAACAGACACGTACATACAGACTCCGGGGGACCACCGAGCCGCTGTGCACGCTAACCAGCGCTAACGTATGAGCTGCCTGCCATTCTCCAGCACAAAGTGTATTTTCCCCCTTCTTCTCTGGACGCCTCCTTCCCTGTTGATGCTCGGCAGTCCTGGAAGCGATTCCCGAGAGCTGTTTTAAGTCTTCAGCTGTTATTGGTGGAGTCAAGGCGTGAGATCGTGGAGGAGAAAAGTCTCAGCCCTCAGGGACTTCTCCAGAGAGGGTGACCGTTAGTCTATCGTCTGAACCAGGACATTTTTGGGAGTGAAAGGGGTGCTGTTAGTAACTAAGCTGGGACAACAGGTGTAAATGGAACTGTCCTGTGCAAATCAGGACACAAGTTCACCCCAACTGGAATGGCTTCCAACATCACCCTGGATCCAGCAGGAGAAAGAAATTGCTGTTAAAACAAACAAACGCAGACAGAAATGAACTGTACGTGTTTCTGCCCTCTCGAGTGGGTACGATGTAACTCACATCAGCGAGAGACGTGACAGCAAATATGATCATATTCAAAGGAAGACTGCGATTTCCAAGCTTCTGCCCTTTATTCTTAATTTTTTTGAGCTACTAAAGAAAACAGCCCTGGAGGGGGAGGTAAGGTGTTTTGCAGAGTGTGTTAATGAGAGTTTGGATATGCAAATAGAAGCCAGGAAAGGAAACAGAACCAAATCACTCTGCATAATGAGGAAAAGAATGTGTTTCTAAGGACAAGAGTCTAGGTTCCTCATTTGGGCCCATGTGGGAAGGAGAGAAGAGTGTAACTACAGGAATCAAGAAGTGGGTGAGACTGTGAATTCAAGAAACTGGAAAAGGAGATGAACAGAAGCCTCTCCCACAATTCCCAGAGCGTTGAGCCTGGGAGAGAGGGCAGTGGGGTCCCGCCATATACGTAGGGCGTTCCAGCCATCTTTAGGACAGCATCAAAGGAAGGGTGTCTCCCTGGGGCTGGAGGGCTTGGGGACTGACTTTAGTCCATGTGTGGTGCTCCCTGGGATTGCACAGGATACAACCTGCACAACCACACGGGGCAGCCTGTTAGGGACATCCTGGTTTTAAGCATGTTTTGCTCTTGGAGGCGTTTATATCAAAGGTAACACAGCTTGAGCAGTGCAAGAGGTGGGAAAGAAGGAAAGGACGTGTTTTCTTCTCCCACCCACACTTTGCTCAAAAAAAAGGAAAGGAGGAGAAAACAAAACTGGAGAATCCATATTGGAGTCCTTTCTCCCTTCCTCGAAAGTACTGGGATGGATTCACCGTCTTCCAGGAGCGAACAAGAAGGCGACCCGTGTGTCCTGCCCTGGGGCTCAGAAGCACATGTTCCGTGAGCCCATCTGACACCTGCCCTCTCTCCCGCAGAGGATGTGCAGGCCGCCTCCGCCCCATGTCTGCCAGCATCCTGGAGCTTTGTCATGAGCCACCCACTTCCAAGGAGGGCACCACTGATGCTGTCAACATCCCGAGAGGCATTTCCCAAACTCATTTCTGCAGACACTAACTCTGCAAGATGCGGAAGTTGCGTGAAAAAAGGGCTTTGCGGCTTGACGAGTTTGGGCATCTCTAGGACAATCAACGTTAAATCAAACGTGTTTTTACTGCAACCTTTGACGATGCTCACAAGGGGAGACCTACATGTCTCGGGGAGCCAGGGAGGTTTGCCCAGGTCACAGTTAGAGAGAGTGGCATGGTGGCAATTCTACTTAATAGCTTTGCTAATATGTCACAAACATTAATCTTCCCTAAAAGGCTTTGAGATGGTTCTGTCATCATCCTCACTTCACACCAGAGGAAACTGAGGCTCAGAAAGTGTCGCTCAGTCCCCAAGTTGACACTGGCAGGATGAGAATAGGTCACCGTGACTCCATCCTCCGTAACCTGCTGTTCTGCTGAGCCTGCAACAACAGCTACAAGGAGAAAGAGTCAGGAGTCGGACAACGGGGCGGAGGGGGCGGTGGGCTTGCCGAGGAGGAGCTTGGTGGTGATGCAGGGAGTGACGTTGCTGAGAGCTGTCACCAAGGCTCCAGGGAGCACAAGCTGAGAAGCCCACACGTTTGTCAGGTAGGAGGGGAAAGAGAAGAGGCCTTGGTGGAAATGTCAAGTTCAGACCACTCCTTCCGAAAGCAGGTGGTAAAGAAAGAGAAAGAGCAGAGGAGGGCTGCCCCAGGGGGAGGGGGTGATGGGGGAGCTGTTGGCTGAGGATGGAGGGTACCAGAATGTGTCTAAGGAGGCGGGCAGGGAGGAGCCCATGGGGTGGGCTGCCCGGGACACTGGGATCAGCTTCAAGACACTTCAGCTCTGCCCGACCAAGAACCCCCCTTTCCAATGGGCCAGTGACTGCCCCTCTGGGGTCTAGGGCATCTGCAGACGGGGGATGGCTTTAGGGGAAAGGTACCCACGATGCTACTGAGCGGCCTCTGCATTCTGAATCAGAATGAAGCCTTTGTCTGTATTTGGCCTCTTTTCATCCCAGCAGCTAAAAACATCTTTCTAAACAAACTCAGCCATTGGTAAATCCTTCAAGCCAAAATGAAGGGAGCTAATGTAAAATTCTCATGGACAGAGTCCAGCTCCCGAGGCAGCGTCTCTGCCCCGGTGGTGGAGCGTTTACAGGGTGAGGTGCCAACCCACAAAACCCCAGCTCCTGCCCAGAGATGCGGCTCCTGGGGAACCGCACGGAATGCGCCCCTTTATGCCGCTGCCTCTGGCCCACAGAGTTAGAGGCCTGCACTTCATCTGGATTCTAAGCCACAGCACTTTGGTTTCACCTTGGGAAGGCCACACGGGCCGGCAGGCCCCAAATCCTGACCCACCAGCTTGGCCATCAAGCGCGGCCCTGAGCTGAGCATGGTCGGAGCCCCCATAGCCATCAGGATGAGGCTGCAGCCGCCCCCCAACCAGGCTTGTGCAAGCGCTGTGTAGCCTGGCGTCCGGCTATCACCCGGGGAGCTGACAGTGTTCCCTCCCAGCCTGGTGGTCAGCATCCTCGGGGCCAGACAGGAGACAGCTTGGTCTGCAGGACAGCAAGGCTCTGGCTCTGAAAATCCTACTCTACTGTGGGGGCAACTCACCCCTCCGGCTGCTCAAAATGAGCCAGCCCCATGGGCAGCTCCTCGCCTGCTGCCTTCCTCCTGCTCCGCGCATCTCCCCATCCCCTGCTCGTCCATACTAACTCGGACCCCGGGTGGTGCTGCTCTCCCAGCCTCTCCCAGCCTGCATCCCGGCTGAGAAGCTTGCTCTGCCGGCTGCCCTGACGAGTGCCCCTCAGCGCTGGCCGACACTGACCCCCCTCCCAGTGCCACCTGCCCTGCTTCCCCCACACAAGCCCCCCCCACCCCCGTGGCTGAGACCTGGGCTCTGAGGAGGCTCTGCTGTTACGAAGTCGGCCGAAAGCATTCAAAAGTGTTTTCTGAACACATTTCAGAAACATATTCAGTTCATAACAGAACAGCCGTGAGGGGTAGTCATCGTGTTCTCATAGCACATCCGAGGAAAGTGAGGACGTAAGAGATCACACAGCCTCCCCACGGTCACACGGCAAGTGGGTGGGACAGCATAGCCTCCCTACATGTGCGTGTGCATGTGTGTGCTTGCGTGTGTGTGCATGTGACCACCTTGAGATTCAGAGCAGCTTCCACTCAAACCAACCTGCAATTACAGGCTCCCAGTATTCTTGTCTCTTTCTTGTGACTAATGTTAAACGTAGGTGAATCTAAGCTAAATTTGAGGACGAAGGTTTAGAACCAATGCTTCAGGCGGGTAAGGCTCCTCAGACTCAGGCCTGTTCCCTTTCTTCACTTCCACCCCGTTCCTTCCACCACATATTCTGGGCTTAATCTCCAGCCTGAGTGAGAACATCGATGACTCCCTTCACGCATTCAGTCAGCAAACTGCACGGGCGAACAGAACAGACCAGACGACTGCTCCGGGCGCAGTGCGCCAGGCCCTGGGCCCAGCAGCCCCCTCGCCCTTTACTCCTCAACCGTGTAGGATGGGACGTCCTGTCCTCCCCATTTCACAGAGGAGGAAACAGAGGCATCAGGGGGAAACGACTGGCCCCAGGCCTCACGGCTGTTCAGCAGCAGAAGCCAGACGGCTCCAGAGCCTAAGCTCGTCCTGCGCCTTATATTGCATCCCCGACGATCTGAACTTAGTGTAAATCCTGTTGTCTTTCTGCTTCAGCCAGAAAAATTCTCTTTGCTTCTTCCTTGAGCCATAAAAAGACTCCATGTTTCCAGCAACTGCTCCACCCACAACCCTCCAACTACCTGCTGGGAGCCTCGGCCCAGGTCCCAGCCAGCACCTGCACGCCGGCCAAGCCAGGGCACTGGGTCTGCCTCCCTCACGGCACCTGCGCCTCACCGCCCTGTGTGTTTGGGGCTGTTTCCCCACTGGACCGAGGAGGGAACTGAGGTTTGGAAGGTCAAGTAAGCTGCCTGAGGTCCCACAGCTCGTAACCTGTGGACCAAGCCCTTGAACCCAGGCCATCCAGACGGGGCCCCGAAGCGCAGGCTCTCCCCCTGTTCTCAGTGGGGTTTTAAACAGAGCCAGCAGGCACTCTTAGAACACAAGGAACTGACAGTGGCTTCACCAGCCCCTCGCTGACCGGCCGCCTCAGCTGCCCGCACCACACGCCTGGTGGGGGGGCTCCACTGCGTCTGTGTAAAGCAGGGGTCCCCAGCGCAGATGCCCATGGGGGCCAGTAGGCAACACGATGAGTGGCTCCGGCCTGGGGACTTACTGTAATGCGCTAGGTGGGCACAGGGCACACTGGACAACGCAGGCCGGGCCTAGCGGGGCAGCTGTGTCTCTGCCCCGATCCACCGAGGCCGGGCAGGAATGTGGGTCTGGTGCCGCCAGCTCAGTCTACTTTCCCAGAGGAGCCAGGAATCCAGATTTTTATGTGAAATCTCTTAATTTTTAAATGATGGAAACTAATTCAAATGTCTCTTTAAACGCTGTTTAAGCAAACGATACACACCTGGTCACAGGGTTGAGCTCTCAGGGTGTCGTTTCGTGATGTGTGGTTTTAAAAGCTCACAGAAGACATAAGTTTAGTACGTCTAAAGAAAGTCCAATTTAGTGTCAAATCATCAGTTTAGTGTAAAAGATTATCAGAGTTTCTCCAAAGCTGCGTTAGCCGAATAAGACACGAGCTGGACTCAGCTCGCAGGGCGCCATTTTGTAATGTCCAGTTTTAAAAGTTTATAGAGGATGTAAGTTTAGTTCACTTAAAGAAGGATCAACTTAGTGTAAAAATTAGCTGTTCAGATGAAGACAAGCCTCTGACACACACTCCAGTTTGCTAAGGAGAGCCCTTCTCCCAGTTCACTTGCTCTGAAGGACACTTGGTTCCACAGAAGAAGAGAGCCCACTGCTCGCTACCAGCGCCCAAGTCTGTGGGGCCAGCGCCACAGCACAGGGTCTTGGCATCGTCTCCTGGTCTGCGGTCAGCTGATCTGTCATGCCCCAGTCACGGGATGACCCTCGGACTTCTCATCATCCTAACGAGGCACAGCAGGAACTAGACTCCCGGTGACCATAGGACACTAACTACTCACCACCTCTGTAGTTGGTGCCCTTTCGCCAGGACACACCCCTATTATCTCCTCCTTCTTTTGTTGGTGACCTGCCCTCATCTGATATCATCCTAAAATCTGAGCTGAGGGTGGTTCAACCCCAGCGGCCCTGGACGCAGGGACGAGACCCAAACTGGCCCAGGGCCAGTGGTCCCTGGGCCCAGCAGTGAGCTGTCAGGTATCAGGGGAGGGGGTGAGGGGTTCTAGATCTTTGCTTCCCCGAGAAGGAGGCGCTTACCAACAAGCCGTTGGAGCCATGGACAGTGACACAGCGAGAGAACGTGTGGTGGATGGACAGGTCCCTGACGTACGTGGGCGGGTCGTAGCCTCCCCTCTCGTCCACGTCGCCTGCCAGGTGGAAGTGGATCGGGTACTGGCCCATCAGCTGCTGGCCCATGTGCTTCAGCTCGACGCCCTCCAGGTGGGCCGCCTTGAACCCCAGCGCGAACTGGGAGAGGAGAGCCGAGAGTCAGGGGGAGTCCGGGAGGCGCTCCCTGCCCCCGAGCTGATGCCCACATTCCAATGATGCACATGCATTGTCCTCAAAGTGCATCATTAATGCCCGCCTTGGATGCTCAGTAAGTCAAAGTTGTTCTCTGCACACGAGCTACGATGCCTGGCCTTCTTACCCTGAGGGAGACGAGGCAATGCTCACACCTAGACATGTAGCAGGGCAACGAGCTGCTCGCAACCAAGCAGTACAGAGGGACCGTGCGGTCGCTGGGGCTTGCTTCCCCCTCTGTTCCTGCCCCCTGAGCCAGTGAGGGTTGTGAGGAAGGCATAACGCTGAGATAACCTGGGTGGAGGCTGACAAAAGTCACACCCCGGGAGGGCTGGGGAATCCAGGATGGGGGGGACCACAGGGCATAAGAGCCTGTGCCATGTCCACCATCTGAGGCCCCCCCCGGGGGGGAGGGGACACCGAGCTGGGAGTCTCCGTGAGCCCATGACTCTGGGGCATGTGTGTGAGTTGTGGGTGCTCCACTCGCTGGGTTTATAGCGCACGTGGAGCCATTTGCAGCTTGCTCAGGGAGCCACCTGACCACACTGAGTGTCTACACTCCAGGAGCTCTCTGTGCAGCACACTCCGAAATGGTTCTTGTCGAAACTTGGGCTCAGCCAACTTCTACTAGAGATGGGTGATCTTAAGGACATGCTAACCATTCCTTCCAAAAGTAGGTGTCAACCCGAGTGCCAGCCCCAGCCATGGCTGCTCTGGAGAGCTGTGTTGAGAACGATTCTGAGGCCTGGTTTGGGCAGGGAGAGTCTGCTCACTCAGGGATTCCTCTCGGGACCGGGAATGGGGTTGCAGCATCCTGTGTAACGCAAACCTGCTATCTCTGCTTTAGTCTCTCTCACGAGACTCTCAACTGAGGACAGAACCGCCACCCCCCCCCCCACCCCTCCCCAGACACCAACTGGAAGTATGCGGAGCTGTTTTCGGTGGTTGCAATGACTGGGGAGCACCACTGGCATTTACTGTGCAGGGACCAGGATGCTAGAAATCCCATAACATAGGCCTGCAAGACAAAAAATTGTCTCGCCTAAAATGCCAGTGGGGCACCCGTCGTGAATGCTGTAAGTTTCACTCCACTGTTCTTCTCAGATGAGCAGAAAGTTTTTCTTGTTTCTGTCATCACCTCAACTCTCCACCAGGAAAATGGGTAAACTTAATGCTGGAATTTCTCGTTCCTCTCCCCTGCTAATCACTTATCTGTATTTTAAGGGCTCTATTGTAAACGTGACTTTCTGTGCGTTAAATGCCAGTTCTTTTAGGAAGCGATCAGGGTTCAATAATGAAGAAAGGGAAGAAAGCAGTGGTTGGGGTTGAAAATCAGGAAGGCGGGGAGCACAGTGTGACTCATCCAAGGTGACTGGGGAGTAGAGAGACGATCCCAGCTTGGCTCCATCATCTCTCTCATTGCCAAGTATTGTCAGGCCAAACAAGATGCCGATGGATAATACGTAAGACTTCTCCAGTTTCCAGAAGGTACTCTTCCCTTGGTCCTGGTCCCGCTCCTCCATCCGCTCCCCGGCCAAGAACCCCCGCCCACAGACTGGCATTGTGGGAAGTCTCCTGGTTGGGTCGTAGCCCAGCCCAGCAGACCCGTACCTTGATGTGGCCCCCAAAGGTATCAAAGTTGAAGAAGTTGCAGATGTGGTTCGTGTAGGGGTAGCACTCATCTTCCATCTCCCCCATGATCACGATGTTGCGGCTCAGGAGCCCGACCTCGGCCCGCATGTCCACGCCGTCCACCTCCCCCCCGATGTGCAGGTACACTGGCTTCCCTAAGGCAGAAATGGGGGAAGGTGGGAGGTCAGGGGTGCCGCCTGTGCCCACTGCGTCGCAGGCCCCTGCCAGGTGCTTCCACTCTGCTGCCTGTGCATCACCATGACCCACGTGCATGGTGGTCCCCACGGCCCCCAGTCCCCCATTTTATGGAAGAATGAAGCCCAGGGAAGTGAAGTTACTCATCGAGCCAGGATTCACAGCCATGCATGCTGAGGTCAGAAGCCCACGGCAGAAATGGCTGTTTGTCCCCCAATGCCTGTCCCTCTTCTGCTTTTGGTACTAGGATCTCCTGCATGTGGCACGTGGCTGGCACATGGCTCTCAGGAGAACCACGTTCCCCAGCCACCATGCAGTCCCGTGTGGTCATAAGATGGGCAGAAGCGACACGTGGGAATTTCAGGTGACCCTGCCCGTGCCCTTTCCCTGGGGGCTGCAGTGTGGATGTGCATTGGTGGGCCAGCCTCGCCCAGGCAGGCGAGAACCATGCCCCAGAGATGGCGGAGCAACGAGAGAGAAGACGCCTGGCTCTGGATGACCCCACAGAGCTGATGCCCCGGACCGCCTACAGCTGGGATTCCTGTGGATGTAACACACATCTCATCTCTCTTTAAAGCCACTGCTATAGGACAGGGCAAATCCATACTCCGTTAGGCAGGCAAACCACTGTTCTGCTTCTCTCAACCTCATGCACAGTGTGCGTCTACACTGCATTTTCAAGAAAGCCAGGTGGGCGCTTCTGTGTCCAACCCTGTGGCCAGGTTTGGGGTGCCTGTACGGAACTACATAGAACTGTGGAAAAGAGCTTGCACCCCACTCCGTATTGACCTCATCACGACCTCCCTGCCTCCCCCTGGCCTGGAGGAGAGGATGCTCTCTGTCTCTGTCTCTTCATTTGGGTTCCTTATGCTCTGTTTTCAAGCTCACCTAGGCCTTCCAATTCTTACAAAGAAAAGACCTTTCTGCCCATCTCACCACCCCTTGGGCTATTGTCAGCCTCTCTCCTGCCTCGGCCAGAGTCCCTGCACTTGTGGTCCGTAGCACACGCCTCCGTTTTCACTCTGCTGTCTCCCTCCCACTGCTCCACTCGGCCTCATCGAATCCACTTAACTTCTCCCTTCCAGGCTCCTCCTCCTCCACCTGCAGCGAATGCACCTTAAGAAAGGTGCGGGGTGACAAGAGTTTGTAAATTCGAAATTGTCCTTGACTTACAGCCCCCATCTCTGCCTCCACCATGATCCCAAGTTGTTTCCTGGAATGAACAGATCTTAGCCTGCCTCCAGATTTGGCCTGTCGGTGACACTGCTGACCTGGGTGGCAGGCACTCTCTCCCAGTCGAGGATGCAATTACAGAAGGCAACAACCTCTGCTGTGGGTTCGCAGCCTGAACCACACCACAGACACTGCCCGGTTTGTACCGTGACCTTGACTGGAGCCACAGAGCACAGCTCAGCCCCAAGACACCGCTGGTGCCCACACGCAAAGGCCGTGGTCATGGTGAGCCCTGAGCAGCACCCACTGACAGTGACCGCACGCTGCTCTCTCTCCCACGGGCAGAGCCGCTCCCCGTCCACCCTTCCCGGGCACATCCTGTGGGTGGGTCTGCAGTGTCCTCAGGAGGCTTGTTGCTTTGGGATTCTGCAGACTCAGGGAGATGGTGGTTTGTTTGAAGCATCTTAGTTCAAGATGAGAAACTGGTGCACAGCAAAGCTGAGAAAACATCCCTTTTGGAACTGGCATCAGCTTCCTGTGGCCGCTGTAACAGATCACCACGAACGTCATGGCTTAAAACAATAGAAGTTCATCTTCTTACAGTCTTGGAGGTCAGACGTCCAAAGCCAGCTTCACCCCGGCAGGAGGTAAGGTCTTGGCAGGGCCGGGAGAGTCTGTTCCCGGGCTTTTTCAGATTCTAGTGCCGCCCGCACTCCGTGGCCTGTGGTCCCTTCCTGCATCTCCAGTGGCATCACTCACCCTCTGCTTCTGTCATCACATCACTTTCTTCTCTGTCTGACTCTCCTGGGCCCCTCTTATGAGGAGCCTCGTAACTCTACTGGGCCCACCCAGATAACACAGGATAATCTCCCATCTCACCAGCCTCAACTTAATCACAGCTGCAATGTCCCTTCTGCCAAGTAAGGCAACATTCACAGGTCTGGAGGATTAGCACGTGGGCATCTTTGGGGCCATTATTCAGCCTACCATAGAGGCCTTCTCAAAAAAAGTCTCAAGTATGGGGCCAGCCCAGTGGTGCAGCGATTAAGTTCTCACATTCCACTTTGGTGGCCTGGGGTTTGCCAGTTCGGATCCCAGGCACGGACCTATGCACTGCTCATGAAGCCATGCTGTGGCAGGCATCCCACATATAAAGTAGAGGAAGATGGGCATGGATGTTAGCTCAGGGCCAGTCTTCCTCAGCAAAAAAAAGGTCTCAAGTATTAAAAAAATTAACTTTACAAAGAGTCTATTTACTGTAATATGCTCATATCCCCAAAGACATCTGATGCCACAGGTCTGTGCCCCCTCTGAAGAGGTCAGGAGTAGACGCCATGCGGGGGCTACCAGGGTTCTGGTACAAAACAGGGTTCTGACATCAACCCAGGGGAGAGACCTTGAAACAAGTTAGCTTTGCCAAGTCCTGGGGCCTTTTCCTCCAGTGCATCCCACTGTGGCTTCCGGTCTGGGTCACAGGCCACGAGTCTACAGCTTTAAGGTCCAGGAGCAGGGTCCCCTCTGGCCAGCCACATGTGAGCCTCTTCTCCCACCCCTGGCCAGTCTCCACCCGTCGGCTCTGGGGCCTTCACAAGCACACCAGTTACGGGGCCTTACAGCAGAGTGGGGGGTTCTGAGCGGCCCCTGCGGAAGGAGCCAGACAGCAGCTGCCCCGGAGCAGCGTCTGTGGCTGATGAGGGAAGAGGAACACATGAAGGCCACCTTTAAACACCCACGTCCAGCAGCTGATGCGCTGGGAATTGACTGTCACCCTGATGGGGGGTCAGACCCAGAGGGGCCTTCTGCAGTCACTTCTCCAGCTCCCCAGCTTCTCACTCAGGGAAACGCAAGGTCGGACGGTGCTGAGGGCTTGCCCAGTGACCCAGGAGAGTGCCAGGCCCAGGACACAGGGCACACGACTCCCAGGAGAGCGCGCCCTCCGGGGCAGCCGTGACTGAGGCTGGGGGGCCATGTCTCTCACCACCAGGTTCTGGCTCTGTGAGCGAGCGAGCGCTGTGAGCCGGGACCTTCGCCGTGAGCACCTCCTCATCCATTCTGGGACTCGGTGACTGTGCCCCAGGAGAATGCGAGGGCTGTCTTTCCAGAACTGTTTAGTCTCCACAAACCCTCGACTCTGACTCTGAGGCTGAGCACGTCACCTCGTCTGCAGGGCCAGGTTCTCTCTTGACGGCCCAGGAGTATGCGCCTCCGGTCTCTCCCCCGGGGGGTCTGCCGCACAGAGTGGAGCCAGCAGACCAGCAGACGGCCCCCAGCTGCCACACCTGCAATCAGCTGTGCTCTGTGCTCGTGCCAAGGCCTGTGCTTCTTGGGCTCCTCCCAAAGGTGGAGCGTGGCAGACGGTCTGGAGCTGGGCCGTCCCCGCCCCGCACAGGCCTCCCCAAGAGGCGGCCTTTGCTCTGGAGCCCCCGTCCCTGCTGAGACTTCCTCAGAGCTGCACTGCGGTCTGAGCTCCTGCAGCCTGATGGTCCTTCCCTCCCCCCTTCACAGGCATCAGACCTGCATCCCGGTCTGATGCTCTCCCGGCTCCTCCCACGCCCCCCCTCTCCTTCCCCACAGTGAAGCTCTTGCACATCTAACTCTGTCTGGACACACCTTCCTGCTTCGTTTTTCCCTCGCCAATGGAAGATCTTGGGGATCAATAAGGAGACCAAAGAATTTTCAGCACCCTCTGCCTCCCTGCCTTTCCTATTCTCCCAAACCATCCCAAACCGTCTGCCATCCCTCCCTGGGGCATCTGTCCCTTAGGATTTCTTCCAGGCCTCGTGCCTCCAGGCATGCGAGATCCAGACCCTCTTCTTCACTGCTGGACACCCCCACGGACAGCGTTACCGGCAACACCCAGAGAAACCTCCAAAGGCTTCCTCAACCCAGCAGGTCCTTGGACGGGTCTTGAGGTACAGAAGGATGAAGTCCTGCCAGCCCTCAGGATGCACAGAGTAAACCCCGGACGCCGTGAGGCTCATCGGCCGTCACTCCCGTATGTCCCCTTCTGCTCCAGCTGGACCGGACCGCCCACACTTTCCTGAACAAGCCTTTGCTACTTCCCATCTCACAGCTCTTCTCTGAGCGGCTCCCTCCAGCTGGGACAGCCTTCCCCACCTTGCCCAGGAAGCAAATTGCTTTGTCCTTCCAGACCCAGCTCCGCCAGCCCCTTCTCAGCGAGGTCTGCCCAGCCAGCCTCCACGCCGCCCTGGTGTCTCTGTGTGGCCGAGCGTGTATAAAAGCGTGTGTGTGTGTGTGTTGGGGGGATGTTAGAAGCAAAGTGAAGGTGAGAGTGAAAATGGGGCAGAAAATGGAGATTTCCAATTGCCACAGCAGGAGGTGTCAGGAATCATGCTGTGGTTGGCAAAACTCTGAAATATTTTTTTAGATGATTCACACTTTTTCATCACTTTGCTATCCTCATCTGTTTCCCATCAGAAAACTCTTAAAATGCAAAATGGCCTGTTTACTGGAATGGGGCATGGAGAAAACAGGATCCAGGAAGGCCATGTCCCTGTCCACGCCCAGCCTGGGGAGGCGACCACAAGTGATGGCTGGGGTGGGGGCCCAGGGGGCTCAGTTATGGACGAGACCGAAGCAGGTGCATCCTCACTCCACGTCAGTGGTGGGTGGCGAGGCAAAGAATGGGCTTGGGGCTGAATAGGAGAAATGCGGGCCTCCCCTGGACACACACACACACACACCCCCCACCTGGGGCATTTCCGGTGCTATCCACCAGGAGGCACTGTTTTCACCTAAGCCCCAAAGCTCCTGAGCAGAGTGACGTGGATGGTGCACTCCCAGCCTAACATCTTTAAGGGAGGAAGGTGGTGGGCTGGGAGTGGGGCTGGTGGAGACTCAGACACAGGCAGAGCTTCACCAAGGCGTGGGAGGGTCCTGAGGGGTCCAGCCTCCTTTCCTCCCTGGTGCTCGGGGCCAGAGCAGCCACCTCCCTCTCTCTCCTGCCTTAAGAGGCCTCCAGAGGCAGGTGCACCTGTCAGTCAAACACTGTCAAGAGGAGCAGCTCTCAGCTCACACACCAACTGGCGCAGGGGGAGGCAGGCAGCTCCTGACATCACAGCTGCCCCAGCGGGACCTGCTCAAAGGGAGCCCCCTCCAGTCTCCAGGGTGCCCAATGTCAGGTGTAGACGAGGCCCAGGGGTCTCTCCCGGGGGAGCTGCTCCTTCCACCACACTCAGGGCTCACGGCAGGCTCTCCCCCTCCTCGGAGCCACAAATGCCATGCAGAACCACGTCACCTCACGGTGACCAGTGACATCAGCTCGGACCGTCTGATGCCGCTCCCGCCAAGAGTCCAGGTGGACACCTGACATCCCGGAAGGACTGTCCACATGTACTGTCCCCGGGGGACACAGAGTCATCTGGGGAAGACCCAAGGGTTCACCCTCACTGTTCTCCTGCAGATGGGGAGCTGGGGAGCGTTTTGTCACCGGGGACCCTGTGGCCCCAGAACTCACATGAAGTCCCAAGTCACCATGGCGGCGGCTCCCACTGTCTCCCGCCCCCTGCAGCTCTCCTGTTCGCCCCTCCAGCTCAGCTCCTCTCCTGTGGCCAGAGCACCGCATGCTGGGCCCAACACAGGTCTGGGCACCTGGCCGTCCCTCTCTGTGCTCCTCGGGCCTCGTTAGCTTCTCCTCCAGCTCCAGCTCTCCGCCCCATCACACACTCTTCTCAGAAGGCTCCCACGCCTGTTCTGATTGGACAAATCCCCCTTTTTTATGCCCCTGTCACAGTCCCCATATTCCTCCTCCATAGCATTCTCCCATTTGGGATTTTCTTTCCATCGGGATGGCTCTTTGCTGGGTGTCCCTTTCTACCGCGGGACTGCGGGCTCCCTGAGGGTGGAGAGCGGGTCTGTCTGGCTCACCCAGCGCCCCCAAGGCTGGGTGCACAGCCACATGGTACTCGCGAACTGTTGGCTGAATGAATAAATGATGAAATGCTCCTTCTGCCTCCCCATGCGTGTCCTTGCGAAGGGAGGAGCGAGGACGCCCGGACAGCCCGGGGGTGGAAGAAGGGTGGGACATGCACCCTCACAGAAATGGCCTCGGCACCTCGGGGCCTCCGCAGGCCTACGGCACACCCCGTGTGCTGCTTACTGATAACGATAGACACAGTCTGCTTCTCCCTCCACAGCCCCCTTCACCTGGGTGTCCCAGAGGGGCAGAACAGACAAGCTGTAAAATCCACGTTTCAACCAGTGGCCTCTGTGCCACACCTCCTCCTTCCTTCCAATTTTAAGCTCAGTTGCTGATTTATTGCCCCTAATACGACTACTAATAGCAGCTGACATCGACTGAGTGCTGACTGTGTGCCAGCACTGTTGTAAGCACCTCCACACGCAAACTCCCCACAAAGTACGTGTGACCATTATCTCCATTGGACAGATGAGGAAACTGAGGCAGGGGGAAGTCAAGTCACTGTCTGAGGTCACACAGCTAATAACTGGTGTTCCTGGAATTCAACTCCTATGGTCTTTGAGCCTCTTCTAAAAATTCTGCCTCTACCAAAAAAGAAAAAAAGCCTTTCTCAAAATGTATTCAGAGAACGTGACCAACGGCACGTTGGGCATCTGATATCATGAGTCAAACTACAAACAGAGGCACATCGAGCGTCTTTGCATCAAACGCTCCCAGCGTTGCTGTTGCTGCTATGTAGCATCCTTCACATGAAGACGCACATCCTTCACATGTTGGACAATAACAGTTAAATAATTTGTGAAGTTTCTTTCTTTGCTCTGGCTGCCAGGAAGCTCAGAGATACATTTCATAGTCTATTTCAGTAGCTTGTGCCAACTTCAGTTTCCCTGCTTTCTGCTGAATTGATTCTCTTTCCATCAGTCTTTCACTCTTTGTGTGTTTTTTTTCCTGGATGAAGACTTTCTTGGATTTGAGTTTGTTATAAGATACCCTCCAACCTTTTTCAAAGAAGGTGGGGATTCCAACCAATTGCTGTTTAAACAGGCAGACTGTTACCTCGTCAAGGAACCAACGTCTGGTCGTCTCAGCCTCTACCCTTGGTGGCTGCCTCCTTCCTCTCTCCAGCCACAGCCACCAGGCCAGCATCTCCCAGAAACATTGCCAACCTTCCTTTTGCAGGATCTGAGTCCTGGGGTCGCCGCCCTGGGACCATAGCTGTGGTGTTTCTGGGCCACCTCAGCCACGTGCCCTCCACGGTCTCCTTCCCCCACGAGCAAAATCAGGGCTTTGGACTCCATCACCGTTTTTCAGCTTTTTTCACCTTTGCTCCCCCAAATTCTTTCTCGAGCACGTCCCCACCAGCCAAAAAGATTGTGCTGCATTTTACTTTCTGAAGTCTTATTTCCAAAATGATAGGTATTTGGGATATATTGAATACGCTATTTTGCTCCACAGTCTTCCTCCTACCCCGATTCTAACACTTCTCCAGGCACAGTGCTCCCGTAGCAGCTGATATTTTTAATGCCCAGTATTGATGCTCCTTTCTTCTGGCAATACATCCCAATTTTCCTCTTGGGAGTGACCCTTTCTCCATCCAACACAGTCTTAGAGCGACCATCAAGGAGGGTGCCCTGCCTCCTCCAAGCCACCAGCCCATCCGTGCTCCGTCCCTGGGAGGTGACCTGAGTGCTACAGCAGAGATGGACACGGTTCCTGCGGACAGTGCTGCCCTGAGGATGCTGCCCTGGTCCTGGTCCTTTTGCAGGCTGGCTGCTGAGCTTGGACTTTAGTTTCTAAGTTGAATAGCCTCCCAATGAGTTGCTTTCTAGGTTAAGATAGTCAAGCTGGATTCTGTCACTTACAACCAAAGACGCTAATTGATACATAACTCTCTCTACTGAGAATAATTGGCCTGGATGGTCCTGGAGGTCGCTTTGCACGTATAACAATCTATGACTCCCGTAACCTCACCTACCATAAATGACGGGGCACCCAAGTCAAGATTTAGGAGAAGAGAAAGGGAAACACAAAAACTATAGAAAGAAGAGATTTAAACTCTAGAAAAAGGAGATGTACAATTCTGTGGTAGATTCCATCATTGCCTAACAAACATGCCCTCCCTCCCCTCAGTCAGGATGGGAGAAATTGGCCTCCCCACCCCTTCGAGCTTGACCGTGTGATTTCCTTTGGCTGACAGAATGTCGGGGTGAGAGTGAGCTACCCTGAGCCCAGGCCTCGAGCATCCTCCTGTGTGTCCATTCCGCCCTCCAGGAGCTGTCCGCCTCCCCTACGAGAAGAAGCTGACCTGGGAAGAACAAGAGTCGTGTGGAGCTGATCTGAACCCAACTGTCGGCCTGGAGCTGAGCTCAGTCTAGAGATGCCAATTCCTAGACAGGCTGCAGGTGCGTGAGTCAGAAATAAATCTGGCCACGAGATGCTAAGGGTATTTTGTTATGCAGCATTCTTACGGTGATAGCTGACTGATACGGATTTGTTGTGATTTCAGTCAACGTTAAGCCTAACGTTCTCAGAATCGTGTAGCCCGGGCGCTGGTTATGAACGTCCTACCTGCTACTCTGACCTGGTTGGGGGCGCAGGCCTTGCAGGGGAGCACCTGGAACTCTTCTGCCTGGTACATGGAGTAATCGGTACTGGCGACGACCAGGGTGTCTCCAGGCTTCCACGACCGCACGTCATCTTCCAGGTTCAGGATGGTGCTGTTGACGTTGGTGTCGACGGTGACGGTGAGCTTGGGCCTCACTGGAACCCAAGACAGAAGGGACTGAGATGCTGCCCTTTGCACTTGGCAGACTCTCGACGGCCCACCTCCGCCCCTCCCCTCCCCGAATGAGTAAATGCCAGGTTTGCCTATCCAAAACCCAAATCGCCAGGCCCACCCCACCCCGGTCTCGGGGCAGGTTTTTGAAGTCAATAAAAACCCTACCAGAAAAGGGCCATTCATCTGCTCCGGGCAGGGGAATTTTCCACTCAGTCCCCAGCTGGAGTCAAATGCGGCAGCCCCACCACACCCACTCTGCTCCAGATGTAAAACAAATATAGTTCCTCTCAACTATTATTTACAGTAGCTAGTAGTGTCTCCCCCAGAGAACGCCTCTCCGTAATGACTGCCTGCGGGAGATGGCCAAGCGCCCCCTCGAACCAACCCACCATTTCCAGCCCCTCTAACGAGCACATTGGGAACTGGGTTTAAAATAACAGCATCTAAGAGGCCACTGGCTGCGTGTCCCTGGGGGTGGGGGGGGAGATGCAGGAAGGTCAGCCCATCCACTGCCCGCCGGGGCTCCTGGACCAGGCCCTGCCCTTCCTGAAAGGCATATGGGCAGGCGGGGCTGCTGGCCCTGCCAACTCTGAGGAGCCTCCGTGTCACTGAAGTGCTCTCCATCGCAAGCTCGGCAGGAGCGGCCTGTCACTGTGATACTTGGAGCGGCCAAGCCAGCCAGCCAAGCCCGCGCCACGTGGCCGCCAGCGCCAAGAACAGAGCCACGGTCCGCAGCAAGCGGCTGCTTACCAGGCTTCCCGCAGAGGAAGCGCACCCGGTAGCCCTGGCAGGGTCGGCCCCGGTCGTAGCACGCAAACCTATAATCCTGGCCTCTTTTGTAGACAACCTCGGTGGTGAGGTTCACTCCGTCCGCCGTCGTGGCCTGGAAATGGCACGGAAATTATAGAGCAAGGTCATTTTCTTTTGGTAAAGAAGGAAGGTGATGGTTAGTGTTATAAACATATACTCGCAAGTCTAAAATCGTCCCCGTTGCAAAAACTGTTTACAGTGGTCCAAGATCATGACCCCAGCGATGGCCCCCATCAGTTTTGTCATAAGGAAAACAGTGTGAAGTTGCAGGACGGACAAATGCCTTGCCCGGGGTCTTCCAATTCTCAGCATCCCGACCCTCGATGTAGTGCTCATCACTGGGGTCATTCTTATGGGGCATCTACAACAAGCAGGCACTGTCGTAGGAGCTGGGCTGGCTTCTCATGACTCGTACCAGCACCACCACCAGCTCCATGAACAGTGGCCGACACCTACTGAGGACTCGCTATGCTCAAGCCCCTGGGACCCAAACACAGTTCCATGTCACACAAGGAGTCTTTACAACGACTCACGCCCAGGCCCCACCCTCAGAGTCTCTGATCTGATCGTGTCTGGGGTGTAGCCTGAGCATCAGGACTTTTAAACTGCAGTGGCCAACATGGTAGCCACACGCAACTAATGAAGCCTTGACACGTAATTAGTGCAAATTGAGATGTGCCGTAAGTGCAAAATATACGCCAGCTTCAAAGAATAGTACCAAGAAAAGAATGTAAAATATCTCATGAGTAATTTATTTGATCAATTCCATGTTAAAATGGTAATATTTTGGAGGCTGGCCCAGTGGCGCAGTGATTAAGTGCACACGTTCTGCTTTAGTGGCCCGGGGTTTGCCAGTTCGGATCCCAGGTACAGACACGGCACCGCTCATCAAGCCATGCTGTGGCAGGCGTCCCACATATAAAGTAGAGGAGGATGGGCACGGATGTTAGCTCAGGGCCAGTCTTCCTCAGCAAAAAGAGGAGGATTGACAGTAGTTAGTTCAGGGCTAATCTTCCTCAAAAAAAAAAAAAAATCAAAAAAAGGTAATATTTTTAAAATATATTGGGTTAAATAAAATATATTATTTGAATTAATCTTAAAAACTTAAAGTAAATAAATAAAAGCCAGCCAGGTGATTCTGAAGGGCGGGAAAGTTTGAGAGCCCTTCTTATAGTTGTGAGAGAAATGTTTACACATATTATCTCATTCCATCTTCAGGGCTACAAGGTCATTACTTGTGTTACAGATAAACTGATGCTCTGAGAGGTTGAGCAACTTGCCCAGAGTCACAAAGCCAGAAAGTGGCAGAGCCAAAACTTGAATCAAGACTCATCCAACCGCAGAGCTGGTGCGTCTGGGCCCTCCCCCGCTGCCCGCGGGGCTCACTGCCTCACGTCCTCTGTTCGGTGCTGGCCTCGTCCCACTGATCGTGGGCTCCGGGGAGGGGAAGCACCAGGTTTCTGCCCGTCTCCCAGAGCCCAGCCCGCAGCCCCGGGCGGGCACAGAGAGGGGTCTCAGCCAATGGGGGCTGCCGAGAAGGCAAGCAGCCTCAAGGCCAGGTAGGGAATTTAGGGAGCAGCTCAGAGGCACGTGTGACCCCAGCCAGCTGGGCCGCATCCCAGAGCCGGGCGTGTCTGCCTGGAGACTGGCTGTCATCAGGGACGCGCGATTTGGAGCCAGGCTGCAGCTATCATCCTCTTTGGCACAGAAACCAAAGGGACCAGGGCCGGGCCCACAGGCAGGCCAAGTACAGCGACCTAGAGAAAGGGGGTACTTTTAGGAAATGCCGTTTGAACCTGGCAGATACAGCTGTCTGGGTTGGCCAGAGAGCTGTGAGATGCGAGCCCAGCATAGTCAACCTTCAGCCCTCCCTGAAGCCCCCTACAGCCACTGACTCACACTGTCTCACAGCAGCGGACAGGCAGGCCTCACGGACCGGCACCTAGAGGACAATGCCAGGGCTTGGACAGGTGCAGAAGCTAGTGCAAGTTGTGGGCCAGCAAGCCCAGCTCCTCTGACCCCTGATGTTTCCCCCCGAGGCCAGTATGTGCTTTGTAGAGCCCTAAAATTGAGAACTGAGCCTGAGAGCATCGTTGAGTGGAGCAGGCATTTTTCAAGGTGCAATGTCCCACAACAACTTCAAGGAGACATCTGCTCATTGCTGCTTTTCTTTTCTTTCTTTCTTTCTTTCTTTCTTTTTTTTTTTTTTGCTGAGGAAGACTGGCCCTGAGCTAACATCCGTGCCCATCTTCCTCTACTTTATATGTGGAACGCCTCCACAGTATGGCTTGATGAGCAGTGCATAGGTCCATACCTGGGATCCAAACCCATGAACCCTGGGCCACCAAAGCAGAGCACGTGGACTTAACTGCTGCACCACTGGGCTGGCCCCCACTGCTTCTCTTTTTTCACTTTCTCTAACCTGTAGAATGACCTCAGTTTTGGCTAAGAAGAGTGAAAAGGGCTCTGTCACTGTTTAGTGACACCAATCTTCACTTTGGGCACAATTTTACTGTTGTTCATGATAGTAACTAATAATCATAAAATAATTAACAGTATCATTATAATCATAAAATAATAAAAACTTATAGGCACTCGCCATAGGTCAGCACTTCACATTTGGTGCTTTGAAATCAGAAAATAATCCCATGAGGGAGCAACATTATCCCCGTTTTTGCACAAGAGGAAATTGAGACACAAGTTAAGTAACTTGGCTGGGACTGTGAGGGATGCAACACGTAGGGCAGACCCCCCCAGGGTCGTGCGAGCGCAGAGTCGGCCCCTGAGAGGGAGGGCCACCTCAAACGTGCGCCCGCCCTGGGCTGCCCACTCTCCTGGCCCCAGGCCCGGTGCTGCCGATGCCCCTCGGCTCACAGAGGCAGAGCTGGTGGCAAACTCAGATCTCTCCAGTTTCAGAGCACATTTTCCTAACCACCAGGCTAACCTCCAGCTGCTATGCCAGAGCAGGGGGCGTCAGGACCACCCAGTGTAGTCTCCGCCCCAAGGAAATGCAAGTAAGGTAGGTCCCACCGGCCTCCAAGGGTGAGTGCGTTTTAAGTGAGAAAGTGGGAGGAAAGGGGACGTCAGCCAAGGGGAACTGCAAGGAGGACAAAGACATGGAAACAGCGGGGTGTGGTTTGGGCTTTGATTTTGCAGAATCAGAAACTATCCGATCTTGATGAAGCTTTCCTTGCATCGAGGTCAGCTGTGCCACTCTCGCTGCTTCCACTTTCTCTCCCACCGTGCCTAGGTCCCAGGCGTCCTTGACACACCTTCCCCTCCAGAGGGTCTGACTGTGTCAGGGCAGAGCAGGCATCTCGGGGACTCTCTGTGTGTGAGACACAGGCACGGGGGGCGGCCGCAGCCCTGAAAAGGAGCATTCGGGAGCTTGGGGCCCGTGGGGCCGTCACACGCGCCAAGTGACTCAGTAAATTGTGATTACCATACGGCAAAAACGGACACGTGGGAAGGTCAGTCCCACTCCATTCTCTCCTGTGGGTTAATCACAGGAGCTAGGGTGTGAGCTCCTGGCTGATGTGTCTGACGCTCATACAAAGGATGAAATCCTGCTTCCCTCGCTGTTGCTGACGTAGAACCAGCTGGCTCTGCTATTCTGACTTTGCAAAACCCAGGAGCGTATCCCGCATCCCACTGTTGCCTTTTATAAGCACAAAGAGATGCTCTAGCTCAGTCTGGCAGCCACTGCTGATAAAGGATGCTGGTGAGAAGCAGGGGCGAACTTGACATCTCCAGGACGGCAGCACTTTCTCCCGGTCTCCAGAGACAGGGGTCTGGCTCACTTTTGGAGGCACGTGGCCTATCTTTAGATGGCTGCTTCCACGGGCCTTTGCTTTGCCAAGGAAAAGTCAAGATCCTATTCTGGAATTGAGAGTTTTGAACTCATAAGAGGCCACCCTGCTCAGCAAAATATTGTCAAAGAACGCGCTTTTGCGGGAAGGCTGGCCCGAGCCTCAGGGTGAGGGGGGAAAACTGGTGTTGGGTCTTTTATTCTTCTCCGGACCTCGACTAGCTGACAACTTAAACTCAGGGAATTCGCTGTCAAGGATTCTCCTCTGGTTGGAAGGAAACCGGACCCTGCGACGTGGCCGCAGACCGCGGGTTCCAGAGCACACGCTCGGGGCAAACACACGTATATGTTCTTCACGGCCTCCTCTGCTGTCTCCGCGCCATCGGTGGAGTTTTATTTAATGCTTTGTCCTGGGATCAGCTGCACTGTGACACACTCTAGGAAGGAGCCTGTGTCTGTGCTGGGAGCAGAGTTGCTGGAAGAGGGGAAACGCCCAGGAAAGCTGTTTTCTGGGCACCGAGAAGTGGTCGTCTAAACAATAGTGGTTTGGAGCCGGCCGGCCGGCAGGCAGAGCCAACACCAGGAGGAATTGGTAGGACATGCAGGCACTCCTCAAGGATTTCCAAGAACACTTGGGAAGGGAGGGCTAATAAAGCCTTGACTGGAGGAACAAGATCGTGGCTACTTCAGAATTAAAGCTGGAACGTTCAGGTAGCAAGAGAAAGTTAATTCGATCTAGGAAGTACGTGCTCTGGGGGACTCAGTGCTTTTCATTCTGTTGGACCCAAGAAGAGTCTACGACTTGCAACTTTTAATCTCCGTAAATCCTTTTCAATTAACATCGGAGCCCCGTGAAGGGAAGGCCTTAGCCAAATATTAAGACAGGTCTCCCCGGCCTTCGCTAACTGCACAACCGAGTGTCCTCCTTTGGAAAAGCGGTCCTTGTCCCACAGCCCTCAACAGGGGAGGCAGAAGCCCTGCCCAGCAGGGTGCCGTGGGTGAAGCCCCGTCAGAGCACCCAGGGCCTGAGGTTAGGTGATCTGAGAGGAGGTCTGCACGAATGTTGACCACCATTTTTATTGGCTGCAAAAGGATAAAATGAGCAAGAACGGGCTTTCATGAAGGACTTCTAATTCTGTATTGAGCATTTAGGTGACCTCAACTCTTGTTCTGGAACAAGACCAGGCATAAGGAAAGAAACTCCATTTTCTTTGCCTGTGCCTTTCCTGTTGTCCACAGAGCCCAGCAGCTCACCAGCTGAGCTCGCGAATTGCGAGGGCTGCGTATTTATGCAACTCTTCCACGATGAGAAGGCTGAGGTCCCTCTGGATAGGGCGACTGCAAGTGCAGAGCTTGAGCAAACACCGTCATCCGACGATCATTTAGCTCCGAGGAGAACAAGGCGCTGGGTGTGTCTCCACCCGGGCTGGGCTCAACCTGTACCCCAAACCCAGCTGGATCTGTGCACTCAGGGTCCGGAAGGAAATCCACCGAGAAGCAAGACTGGAGTCAGACCCATCCCTGCGCTGGGCACTGTCAGCCCCGGCTGCAGAAGCAGGTTAAAGAGAAGGCAGGGAACTCGGACTCTGGGTCCGGGAGAGAATTTGAGTCCTCGCTTTGGAACCCCCGACCCGGGAGGCCTGGAGCAGAAACAAGCCTTGTTCTGTCTCTAAAATGGGAATGTTATTCTCTGCCTTACCTCTGTCGTAGAGCCCTGAGAACCACACCACTCAACTGGCAAGAAAGCTTGCGATCTGCAGAGTCTTCAACCTACAGCCTTTAGAACCACTGATTGTCTGGGGTTGGTACCTGTATATCAATGGGACGATTGCAGATCTTTCCTGGGTGAGCTGCCCGCAGGTCTGAAATTTTTTCCCCACCTTTAGTCTGCGACACTTTGTCATGTTCGAACCACTCCGTCCACTCCACATCTAGGCAGAAAGCAAAGAGCAGGGTCAGACCGGAGGGGCTGCGAGGGCCAGTGATGCCCAACGTAGTCCCAGGGACCCTCAGTGCAATGGGATTCAAACACCGTCTGCCCAGGCTTGCACGGGTACCAGAGGCTCGTAAACAATCAGCCAACTCTCCCACCTTGTAATTAAAAGGACCTCTATTGACTCTTAATTTTACAAAAGCAATAGATACTCTTCATTATTACAAAAAGGAGCAAGACAAAATCCAGCCATAAGCCCATCAAGCAAGCATTGCTGCCTTCTGCACACCAACCCCTGTGTGGGGCTACTGGAAGGCGGGTCCTGGTCCGTGCCTTTGCCCGGCGCAGAAAAGGAATCCCACGGGGGACGCATCCCTCTGGGCTGTTGGCTGCTGTGGCCTGAGGAATTGAAGACAGCTTTCTGTTGCAAACTCAGTTGACTCTGCAACAGTGAAGGGGTCTTACTGGCCCAAGAGAAAAATCCTTGTTCTGCAAAGATAGCAAAACCCAGCCTTTATCTCACTGGTGGGTAGGTTGTACCAGGTCATCCCAAACGCCTCACCTTGAACCCACTCGCTGGAGGAAGAGACGTTGAAATGCTCGCCGTGCTCCGACCGGAACAATTTGAACACCCGGGCCGCCGCGGAGCCGCGGTGTCCTGTCAGAGAGACGAGGCGTTAGCAACACGACAGACCCCCAGCTCCAGGAGGATGCAGTTCCAAGGCAGAGAAAGCCCTCTGTCTACACAGATGGATCCTGAGCCATTTATTTAAAAAGAAAGTGTCAGGTCACTCTTCCCACTTGGGAAGCAGACTCCTGTCCCTTCTTCGGTCAGATTAGATCAGACCAGTGTAGGCAGGGCCTGCCTCAACCTTCTCCGGGCATAGGAACCACCAGCACGTGGTGAGGGCCCCTCCAAAGGGTCCTTTTAGCTCAAAGCATTGCCCACACTGGTTGTCCCAGTTCTCGTCTTTCCTGTGTCGCTTGTTTTGAATTAAGTCAATGACGAGTTCTTTGAAAACGTAAATGTTATCTGACTGGTTGACCTTAAGTCAGTGTTGACGTTTTTTTTTTTAATTGAGTTAATGATAGGTAAGTCAGTGTTGACTTTTGACGCTTCCACTCAACACGGCCAGTCAAGCGGCCCGTCCCTCGACTGGTGTTGGGAGATGCGGAGCTGTGTCCCGAGGGATGTGGGTGGTCCAGAGAGACCCTGAGCCTCTTAGTCAGAGAGACACCCGAGGGAATCCGGCCTCCCGCCCGCTGTGCGTTACCCTGATATTCAATGTGGTCTTCGACAGAAGAAGAGGGGCTTCCTTTCACAGTTATAAAACTCCACGGGTGTCTGAAAGGAACAACAACAGAAAGTCAGGGCCCTCGCTGTCTGAGCCCGTCCTGGAGGCAGAGCCGACACAACGTCGCACACAGGAGCGGCCACATCAGCTTGTGGGCTGGCCCCACGCACAAGCCTTTCTTTGCAGCATGGGCTCCCCAACCTCCCGGCCACCTGATGATGGCGCACTGTGAGCCCCCCAGCTCCATTCTGGCAGGAGACGGGGTATGAATCGTGAACAGACAAACCCACAGACCTTCGCACCACCTGCCGGGCCCGACAGGGTCCTGAAGCAAGTGCTCTGACTCCCTTAGGAAAACAAGGAACAGGGTCCAAGAGAGACGGGTCAGTTCTCTGAGGCCCAGCTGCCCTAGAGCTAAGCTCGGGGAAAACCCCAGCAGCTAGGTGACTGATTACCCAGCGGTCTGCCCTGGGCCCTGGGAAGGAAGGAAAGAGATACCCCGTCTTCTTCATGGAGCAAAGGAGGAAAGAAGATGTAAGGTTTTGAAAAGTGTGTCCCCCTCTTTCCTCCATCGGACTGGAAGGTTTGCTCACCCGTTCTTGTCTTCCCCACTGAGGCCTCATATAGCCTCTCTCTTACTATGAGGTATCAATTGGTTTTAGTCCTCAGTGGCTTTTATTATTTCTGTTTTGATCTCTTATCTTGGGAAGTGAGTCTTTACTGAGGTTGGAGATTTCACCCTGTCGCTCTCTTGCATAAAATCCTTCCATGGCTCCCTATTGCCCTTTGGATGAAAACCAAACCCCTCGGCACAGAGCAAAAGACATCCTGTGCCCTCCTCCCCAGCCTCATCGCCTGCCCCTCCCACTCTTGCACACCCTCCCCACGTCCCCCACGGCTTTGGCGGAGCCACACACTCAGCCCTGGGCCTGCACCCTGAGTCTCTCGGGGGCATCTACTTGCCCTCATCCTCACCTGGAGGTCTGAGCCAAAGCCCCCTTCTGCCTTTTGCCCCCTCTTGCTCTCTCACGCCCCGTCATCGTTGCCATTTAACATCTCTCTCCCACGAGAGCTCAGGACCCCTAGTCCAGCCTGGTGCCTCACGCCAATATCCGCTCAACAACCACTTCTTCTATGAAGGAACAAATGGCAGGTCCAAATCTCGGTTCTTCTGCTGATTTTAGACACTTTGAGTTTATCATTCAACGTGTGTCTCTACAAACGAGGGGTAATTCCTGCTTGCCTATCTCCTTTATCCATGGGAGTGGCCGAGACAAAACCTGGCACGCAGCCTCCCCGGGGCTCTTGTTTGTAAGGAGAGAATGTTGCTGACCTTCCCTGAGTCCTTACTCTGTGGAAGACCCGACGGCAAATATTTTGCTCCCCTTATCACATTTATTTTCCCGAAGGCCCTTTGAGACGCCTCCTGAGAGACCCCACGTTACAGGCGCGGGAGCCGTGCAGAGCAAGGGTGAGCCCTCACAGGAGGCGCAGCCCGGACGCAAATGCAGGCCAGATCAGACACCAGACCTCTGACCTTCTTCTGCTGAGCTTCTAAGTAACCAGCCCCTGCGTGGTTCTCCCTCTCATTGTAAGTTAATAAACGGGCCTTTTGGTTTATGCAACCATGAAATGGAAGTGCCCTCAGTCTTTGCTAACCAAGCAGCTTTGTGATGCCAAGGCGTGGCTGTCGTCCGTCCTTGGCTGCTGAAGTTTCCTGCCCAGATCCTTCCAGAAGGAGCAGCCCCGGGGCTCTCAGAGAATTGACCGGAGCGCCTCTCCCTGCCCCCGGGGAACCTCTGCCCAGCCAGTAAAATTGCCCCGAAAAGGCTCCATCCTGGCCCCGATCTTGCCCACCATTATCTCCAAACATACACGGGACCGATGACCTCAACTTTCCACTGAGGCGAGATCTGATTCAACATGATAAAAAGGTGTGGTGACTGTGGGGTAAACGGGGTGCACGGCATTTTCTCGGTGCCAATGCGTGTGCATGCCAAAGTCAGGCGGGACGCTGCGATCCCAGGCAAACACACAGCAGAGCACATCAAAGGGCCCGTCTCCCCGGGGGCTCGGCTGGGCAGAGACACTTTGTCTGATCTCCAAACAAATGTCTGCCACCCCCCAGGGCACATCCCGACCCCTGGGCCACCAGCATTTGCTGCACCTCTGAGGCGTGGCTCTCACACACAGCAGATGCTGAGCGAATACTTTGTAAGTGGTTGACCGAAGGCGTTCATATTAACGAGATTTTTTGTGTTTTAAGAGCAGAATGTGCTTGTAAGGAAAACCAGACTCCCTCTAAGAACAAGCCCGCATGTGTCCCATGCACATGGATAACACGCCTGCATCTCCCCAAGTCACCACCGAGGGTGGAGTGGCCCCGGGGACACGAGGAGGGAGGAGGCCATTCTGCCTGGGATGGTGTTGTGCTTCCGTGTCCTGGAGCCTGGGCGGCGGAAGGGATGGGCGATACCTGAACCCAAGGTGTAGGAAGTGCTTGCTGCCCAGTCTGGTCATCGCCTTCCGGGCCACGTCATCCAGGTTTCGAGATCCCTCATCGTTCACGGCAATGGACAGGATCCTGCCGTCAGGCACGGCATTCAAGGACTGGACCAGGCGCTCGCTCTCCTTCTTGGAGCTGTAGGTGTCGAACCTGCAAAGGGCCGAGAGAGGGGATTTCAATAGTCAGGAAAGCAGCCCAAAAAGAGAGATCAAAGCACATGTCTATAGCGCCATGCCACCCAGAGAACCCGAGGGCCGTGATTTTTAAAGAAAGAAGCTTTTGTTACAGCAAAAACGGGTGATCTCAGACTTGACACACATAACCCATCCTCATACAGACAAAATATCCATGAAATACAGATCTTGACAAATCTATACAAGAATTTACAAAGGAAAGATAGAATTTTGTCACGATCCCCACTCTCCCGCACATTAAGTATAAAGATTTTGTGCAATTACAATGGAAATTCCAAAAGAATTTGTCTTGGGGCTTAACAAGCAAAAATAGTTCTCAAACGAATCTAGAAAAATAAACCAGCACGAATAGCAAGGATTTTGGAAAAGGAAGGCACTGGAGGTAGGGCGGTGGCTGGATAGGCGTCCCCGAGTCCTCAAACTTGTTTCGACTGTTTGCATAACCTGGTACGACCCCACCTGGGCCCCTTGTTCTCCCCCGCCCCTCCCCAGGAATCGTCGCTGCAAGCTGAACACCCCTCAGTGCCCCGCAGCCACACTGCGTGCCCACTCCTGTCTTTACTTACTCATCTCAGCTTTTTCCCACCTGATCTAACGCTTGATACCTTTCAAGAGCCGACCCAAGTTCTTATTTATGTGCGTGTGTATGTGTTCAGTGTTTATGAACATCTCCACTCACATACATTCAGCTGTCAGATTCCCGAGGCCACTGACACACACTTTGAGCAAAGGAGACTGGGGAGGAGACAGCATTCTGCCTCTGGAACCTCCACATCCGCCGTCGGGACAACTTCTCGCCATCCAGTTCAACGATGAAGTCACCGTAAGGTGGGCTTGCTGCCACAGCCAGGCTGCGCGGACTTCAGAAGCAGCACACGACAGAGGACTCTGTTCTCTCGTGAGAAGCAGGGGGCTCTCTGACATTCTTAGTGTCAGTCATGCTCATCCTGGCTTCACTGTCACCTGCGGGCTGAGGATTGCTCAGCCCTGGGCCACGGCAGATGGCTGCCACCAGAGCACCGTGGAGGCGAAATAGTGGCCAAGGGTCTGGGCAGATCTGGGTTTGCATCCTGGCTCCAGCGTTTACCAGCGTTATGACGCTCAGCAAATTCAGCCCTGCTGAGCCTCAGTGCTCTCACCCGTGTCATGTGGAGAGTCACAGCACCTGCCTCCCAGGGGGTTATGAAGACTCGGTTGTACATGGTGGATAAAGTGGTTAACGCAGCGTGTTGCACAAAGCCGAGTGATTGCGTTATCGTTTCTAATATCGACCAGAGCTCGAGGTGGCTGTGCAGCCTGCGCCTGTGTCACAGTGTTCCTGCCGCCTTCCTGCGGACCCTCACGCCTCCTGCCCTGCTCCTGAGGGTTCCAGGACTTCCTCCTCCAGCAGCCCCAGGACAGCTCGACCCTGCTTGCCTCCCCCCGCCACGTCCTTCCTGGGGTCTTTCCCTTGGAACCTCTGCAGGGCCAGGACAAGAGCCCCCGGGAGCGTGCAGGGCAGGCCCAGCCTCTGCAGAATCCACCAGCTTATACCAGACCAGGGAGGGGAGAGATGAGGGAGCGGGAGACTTGCCCTCGCTGCCTCCTGAATGTCTCAAGGTCATCCAAGGTCATCCACCTCTGGGGCCGCTGCTCCTACCTGAGTCCTCGCCAGCGACATCTCTCGCCTAGACCACGCAGAAGCCTCCGTGCCACCCCCGCCGTCTTTACTGTGGCCTACACCATCCACCCTTTCTCTACACAGCAGCCAGAAGCTCCTTTCAAGTCAGATCATACCCATCCTAACAACCTTCGGTGGCTTCCAGTCCCACTTAGAACAAAACCCGCCTCCTGCCCGTGGCCTTCAAGCTCCTGCCCCTGCCTGAAATTCCGACATCATCGTGTCATGTTCCCCTTGCTGTCTGTGCTGCACCTCCCTGCTGGCCCTCCTGGCTGGCAGGACATCATGCAGTTCTGGCCCCGGGCCCTTTGCACCTGCTGCTCTGTGTCCTGAACACTTTCTCTACCTCACCCTCGCCCTGCAGTTCTCAGCTCAGACATGCTTCCTCGCCCTTCCCTTGATGGAAAGTGGTCTCCCTAGTCACTCTCCACCATTTCACGAGGTCTTTTTTCCCCTAACTACCTATTATCACAATCGGGGACTGTGCTGTGTGTGTGTGTGCGAGCGCACGTGCTTGCTCCTGTTGAATTGGGCTTCACGAGGCAGGTGCCTGGGGAAGGAAGGACGGAAGTCCTTGAAGTCAGGGGGGCCCGTCTGTTTCATGGGAGCAGCATCTGGCCAGGGCACATGCTCTGGAAGTGGATGTTGAATGAACGAATGAGTGTGTGTGTAAGTGAAGGCAGAACTTACCGGTCAGAATGTATGACGGCCCCTGATTTGGGGTCAATGACATGAACGATGACGCCACGGTGACCCCAGCTCCTTTCAAAAAAGTAGCCGCCCTCCTCCATTCCGCCCGGGTGCAGCGTCTTGTTCAGAAATGTCCAGGAGAGCTTCTTCTGTCCGTGCAGCTCGAGGGTGCCTCCTCTGCCGACCCCGATGTACTTCAGGCTGTAGTAAGGGTCCGGTGGGAGACCTTCGTCAGCCCTGCGAGAGAAAACAGCTCTTCAAAGCCAGCCGATGCCTCTCCTTGTGGATGCTGAGCCCAGGGGGATCCCACCCTCCCCGTGGCCACCACAGAGCCGGTCACCTTGGGGATCAAACAAGGTTGGGAGAAACCGCATTAGCAACCAGATCCCCCTGAGCCAGACCAAAACGAGGCCACGCAGCCAAGTAGAAACGCTTCTCCTTGATCCCCGTGCTGGCGCTTCTTTTCCTTTCTAAGTATTTTATATTTTGGTCCCTATCAGGTGTGGAACCCCCTGGACATGGCCTGCAGACCCCTGCGTATTCTTGCCGGCCACTTCTTAGGACTCTCAACTGCTGGAAGAGAGGGCACAGCCAGAGGCCAACCCCACGTGGGCCGTTTCTTTATCTTGTCCGTCGTAATGTTAGGTCAACATTCGCAGAGGCTCCCTGAGCCGTGACATGACAGGAAGGCGGCTGAAAGCCTGGCAGGGACCTCTGTAACTGAAGTCCGGACCCCGGCCACCATAAAAATGCTCCAGCTCACTCAGACCTCCAACATCTGTCTCGCTGGTGATTACAAGCTGGCAGCACGTAGTAATAATGCCTGTCTTGCCCTAAAACCTCGCCGTCTTGCCTCCCTCTCTCCCTTGAAAACCCTCCTTCCCGTCAGATCCAAGAGTAACATTTGACCCTGGAGAAGCTGTCTACCCACCTTCCGTACAAAACGATGCTAAAATTGCCCTGGAAAGGGCAGAGGGCACTCCCAGCATGCAGCTCTCCTCCGTTGTCAATCAAGATGTGCCGGGTGCGCAAAACAATTGTCTCGTCGTGGTCTTTAATGACCAGCTTTCCTGAGAAGGCAGGGATGGGGCGGGGTTTCAGAACGTGAGGGTTGGTGGTGAGGTGCTAGCAGAGCCGAGGGCAGACCTCCCGGGCCCCCCTTCTCATGCAGGCAAGGAGACCATCTTTCAAACACTTCTGTGCTGGCTGCACTTGTAAGCGGTCACTTTGCTTTTCGCTCTGCCTTGCAATGTGTAGATCAATAATGCCTGCCTGGTCACCGCCATCACTGCAGGCTCTGCATTCAATGAGCGAGCAGCAGTAAGGAGGTTCCTCCATAAATGCTGCTGTCACTGACATTGGACCTCTGACAAGCCCTTCCTAAGTGCTTGTCGTTGCTGACGGTCATTGCAAACCACCTGAAGCTCTGACACGAACCTGGAGCACATGACGTTGTTTCTGTCCACCTGAAGCTACGCCAGCCTGCATCTCCTTCTCTAGGATGTGAGGCCGCGGAGGGGCAGAGAGCGGGGGAGAGACCAGCTTACCTCCGTCTGTGATGTGGATGGAGTGGACCGTGGCAGAAGAGGTGAGCAGCAGTGTTCTGCCCCGGCCAATGTGCACACGGTGGTCCTGGTTGTGGCCGGGGCTCCAGGGCTGCAGCTTGGGGTCCCGGTCAGGACACTCAGATGCCGCTGCCAAGGACAGAGAGATGTCATCACTCCCATCCACCAACCCCACCAAGCAAGGATCCCCACTGACCGCAAGGGCAGCTCTCGTGCATCTTGTCGCTCCTGCCTGCTCTCTCCTGGAGCTGAAAGCAGGACCTCAGAGAGCAAGGAGACCCCCTGGGAGAGGAGCCAGGAGCCCGGGGTGCAGTCCGTGTCTTTCCTTAGTTCATTATGCATCTGTGAATAAGCCACTTCCCTTTTCTGGGCTCAGATTTTCCATTTACAAAATGAAGGGTAGACCAGATGACTCCTCAAGACATTCCAAGACCTAACGTGAGGCAAGCGTTCACCCAGGTTACTTGCACTCCAAGACCCTTTCCTTTGGGAGGCAGCATTTGAGGAGTTAACAAGGCCTTTTCCCCTTCTGCATGAGAATCTGACTTTTAGTTCATTTTCTAGCTCTGTTCCCCTGGAAACCTTAGAAAGATGGTGTTATGTAAACTATGTCACCAAGCAACATGCTCAGGACAGAAGTGACCCCTGACTGGCAGCCGGCGTCTAAACTGGGAGGAACCACACATGGTTTATCTTTGTCCCCAGTGGCGATGGCATGCTGCGGGCTCCCCGAGGGCTGGGCCCTCCCCTGCTCTGTGGAGCACAGTGTGGGGGCTCGGCGTGCATTTGCCGAGTCTCGCTCCCCATCCCACCCTCCCCGGCCCCATAACACCCCTCCTTCAGGCTCCGTCTGCCCCTCTGTCAGTCCTAACTCAGTCTCTGCATCGCTTTCATCGAGAAGAGGATTTCCCATTCTTGGGAGTTTGACTGGAGCAGCTCTGCCAGCTGTAAACCCCAGGGGACTCGGGGACGGAAGGAGCCAAGAGAAAATGTGGGGCTCGCACGTCAGCGGACTTTCCATCTTGGTGGGAGCGCAGGGTTGCCAGCGAGCTGCCAGGAGGGGCTGGGGCAGGCTCTCTGCCTCAGCACTCGGCAGCCGAGGACGGTCACGAGGGCTCCAGCCACTGAGGGGTTTCTGAGGGCCACAGCCCATCCCCGGTTGGTCTTCAGACGGGGCATGCGCTTGGCTGGCTTCCTGCAGAGGCCAGCCCGAGACCCTGGGCTGCCCTCCACCTCGTCCAAGGAAGTGACTCCCCAGACGTGTGGCACGGAGCCACGAGCATCTGAGAAGGAGTCGTTCCAGACCCCCGGGGACAAAGCGCTGGGGAGTCACTGCCCACACCCCCAGGACTCAAGGCCGGGCCGACTGCCCCTCTCCTCTCTGAGCGCCACACTCGCGCCTGCACCAGCCTTTGCACCTGCGTCTGGAGGCGGTTGGCCCAGCCTTGAGGCTCTCCTGCCATTAGGAGCACAGTTCCCAGAGACCCAGCTGCTCTGGCCCCCAGCACAAGCACAGCAGTGACGAGAGGGGCTCCTTCCTTGGGGCCGGACATTTTGCTCTTGGTAAAGGTCAGTTTCAGGGGATTTGCACTTGTGTGCATCAGTGAGTAGCTGGAAACCGTCAATGCCTCAGCCACCCTTCCCGGGAGGGGACACAGGAGGCCAGACGGAGAGGGAAGACAAGCCCCACCTACTCGGGGCATGAATGCCAGGGGCCAGCTTCCTCTGACGTCAGAGGGATGCACAGACCAGCGGCAGCCAGAGGCACTGCCCCCTATCCAGACGGCGCCACCCACACAGAAGAGAGAGGTCGAGGACACGGGGGAAATATCCACGGAAGCTGCCAATCACACCCGCCCGACACCCCGAGGTGGATCACGCTAAAAGGGAAAGGCAAACCCAGCTCCTAGCAGAGTCTGTGCCCTCTCGGTGTTTATTAATTGAAGAAACGACGGAAGGATAAAGGAGCGAATTCAGGGACACTGCCAATTGTTGCATCGAGAGTCAAAATATGGACTTCTTGCTACGTCCCCTCAGGAAAGGAAAGATTCCACAAGGAATCACTTTGAGGGAATTTCACCAATTACGATTAGAGATGACTTCCTCCCATGAGGGAAGAAAACAGAACATCACACGGTGTGAGGTCCTTTCTTCTTAGGGTAGAAAAGCATCCAGCTCAATTCATAATAATAGCACTAAAAGAAGGAGCAATGGATGGGGATGGCCACATTACTAACCCTCTAACAACATGTAGAAACTGCCACCGTCTCTCACCTTCTTCTTCCTCAGGTTTTGGTTATTTGCTGTTTTCTGCAGCCCACACAAACGCCCCTTGTGGCTGTGAATGTTAACTTGCAATCACTCTGAGAAAAAGCAGACGATGTAGAGAAAAATAGATCGAAATCTCGTCTCGAACATCACGGCTGACAAGGGGCTTTCGTGCGGCCGGATCTTAGGATGGCAAAGTGGTTTGGAAAATTTGAATTGGTTGCCAACATTTAACAGGCAGGGAGCTTTCACATAAAAATCTGGATTTCTGCCTTCTCTTAAAAATTTGCAAGATCCTGGGCTGGCCCGGTGGCGCAGCGGTTCAGTGCGCACGTTGTGCTTCGGCGGCCTGGGGTTCGCGGGTTCGGATCCCGGGTGCGGACATGGCACCGCTTGGCAAGCCATGCTGTGGTAGGCATCCCACATATAAAGTAGAGGAAGATGGGCACGCATGTTAGCTCAGGGCCAGCCTTCCTCAGCAAAAAGAGGAGGATTGGCAGTAGTTAGCAGGGCTAATCTTCTCCAAAAAAAAAAAAATGCAAGATCCTGCAACAGGGGCCCCACCGTCACACTTGGCAGCCATCAGCCAGAACTGCGAGGCAGGTGTCCATTTAGAGATGCCTGAACTCGCAGGTGACCGTGGCCCTACCTGGCCAGCTTCACTGGTTTGTGTCACATGCCCGGCTCCCGTAGACACGGAGTTTGTAACCCCTGAGTCTAGTCCAAACCCTTCCTTGTGTGGATTACGAAACCGAAGCCCAGGACGAGACTTGCCTGGGATCCAGGAATTAGCAGGGGTAGGTCAGACCCCGCCCGACCCAGCCCAGTGGCTCCTTCTCCCGGCCTCCCAGAAGCCTCGCTTTGACCAGGGGCTGTGCCTTCCCCCTTGAGATGCGGGTCCAACCGCTTTGCGGCGGCTCACCTGTGGAGACGGCCCCAGGGAAGTGGGCCAGGAGGAGCCCGCTGAGGGTCAGCATCGCCTTGAAGCAGAAGTCCTGCCAGCCGCGGGCAGCTCCCATCCTGGCAGCGCTCCCTGCAAGGGAAGCATAAGTCAGACCTGCGGCCTCTGCAGGCTAGAGTCAGCATGCGGGGCAGACACCGACGCAGCCAGGGCCACACGCGCACACGGGGCAGTGCCTGCACGGCACCCTCCAGCCGGCCGGCGCGGAGTCCTCAGCCAACACGACGCAGGGCTGGGCAGATCAGGGCGTGCAAGCCCCGTCACATCCTGTGTCCTGCAGCTCCGAACCCCAGCGAGGGATGGAATTTCATCCTTGGCACTCACATGCCCTCTCTTCCAGAATGAAGCTTTCTTTTAAGACACAGAAAAATGGAAACTACTCCTACGGAATACGAGCTGGAAATTAGAGGCCACCAGCTTGCTGTGTGATCTCAGCTGATGAGATTAACCTCTCTGGGCCTCAGTGCCCTAATCTGGAACATGAATGTAGACTGGCTGACTTCTAACCCTGACCCCACCTTTATCAGTCTAGCTTCTGAAACAAGCCTTGGTAACAACGTTGAAACACCAATACAGATGCCTATGTATCATGAACCCTCTTCACACCACCTAGCTAAGGGGAAGGATTAAGTTCTGGCTGTTACAGCAGAAGGACAGTCTGTGAATTGCAGGAAATGCCCCTAAGGGAGGGCAGGAAGACTCTCTCCCCTCTTCCTCCTTCCTGCTGGCTAGAATGTGGATATGATGGCTGGATCTTCAGCAGCTCTCTTTGGCCATGTAGTGGGAGCCAGGCACCAAGGACGGCAAAGCAGACAGAGAGAAAGAACCTGGGCTCCAGCCCCTTGGAGAACTGAAACGGCCCCAGGCTATGGGTTTATTTTTATGTGAGAGGGAACTAAACCCCTATTTTCATTAAAGTCACTTATTTTTTTCCTTCAACTCATACAGAAGGTGAATATGGGAATCTGTCTAGATAAACCTCAAGACAGGAACTGTGAGAGAAAGATGCCAGATTCCCCTTTCAAGATAGAACGCCACTTGGGGAAACATTTTTGTCCTCAAGTCCTAGGAGGCACACACAGCTTCCACGCCCATGTCCCCAGAGACAAGCAGACACGCTCCCACACTGAGAAAGGGGCCCGAATCCGTCTCACAATGCAGAACCACCCTGTGAACCAGCTCAGAACAGATCTGACCGTCCCTGACCTTCCAGCTCGGGTGAAGGGCTTTGTAGGAGCCCAAGGAGCTGGGCAGGCGAGGGGGCTGCACGGGAGCAACCGGGCCTCCACGTGGTCCCCACGCCCAGGTGTGCCGGGCCGGCCAAGGGAGGAAACGATACTCTTAGAATCGAGGCCAGCGGGGTCCTCTCATGGGGCACCCAGCCTGGCCCGGCCTGATCCGCAGAGAACAACAGGGCCCATTCTAGCGGCTTTGGCCGATTGCTGCAGTCGAGCATCACAGCGCCTGGAACGGCGCCTTTCCCACGGCCCCGAGAGAGAAGTGTCGGCTTTCACGCTCTTTGCAGTGGAAACGAGGGCACGCCAGGGACAGGAGTGTCCCGTGGTCCTCAGGGGAAGGCCAGGGCCCTGCTCTCAAGTCTCAATCTGTTTAGAAAAGCCAAACACAGTTTGCTGCCTGCTGCCGAGAAGCCCCGAACGGCCGTGGGGCTCCTCGTAAGGGAAGCTGGACTTTTGGGCCACGAGCCGGCATCTTTGCCTGGTAAAGTCATGTGACAGATGCTGAGGCTGGAGGTGACAGGGTGCGGAGGACAGTCTGGGTCCGGTGACCCCCGTCAAGGCATCTCCTTCGTGGGCCTCGACTCCCAGTGTGCGCCGTGGGAGGCTGGCACGTGGGGACACTGCAGCTCTGAATGCTTCTGAGTACATTACTGGTCATTCCAAAGACAGAAAAAAAGTACCTTCTGGACAGACGTAAAAACAATTCCACTGGAAGGAACAGCGCTCGAAACCTCTCGTTCCTAACGTTAAAGAGGCCTCGTGCTGTCTCAGAGCATGCCATGTCCGAGCCATGGGCAGCAGAGAGCCCTCCGGCCGTAGAAGCGAGTGCCGCATCGCTGGGGCTGTTCCCCCGTGCGGTCTCGCCCGTGGGCAGCTTCCAGTGCCCAAGCACAGAAACCCTGGAAACCTTCTGTTGAGGGGAATCCCAAAAGGGTCTCAAACTTCACTGGGGACTTCTCGCCAAGGGAGGGCAGCTTCCCCAGTTGGCCACGAAGAGCCTTGTGGAGATGGGAGATGGGACTCGGCCTGCCTGCTGACAAGATCCTGACTCGAGTTGGCTCCCTGCTGTCGAGGGCCTGGGAGGGCGCACTGGCTGGCGGTGCTGCAAGTCTCCGGGGAGGCTGTTGGCAGGGATGCTGACCACTGGCCATGCTGGGTGCTGATGGCCCGAGTAGGCTGCTCCTTCAAGGGTGCGGGGAGCCCTCAGCAGACCCGTGTGGGAGGAGAGCCTGGCATGCTTTTTCTAAGGCCTGCACTTTGGGATGTTCCACGCGTCTTTGCGATAACAAGCAAGTGGTCCAGAAGCTCAGCATCCCCGGGGCCAGCGGCTGCTCGTCCTTGAGTCTGCCAGGCCTCGCGGGGACAAGGGGAGGCTGGAGCAGAAGCAGGAAGGAGCGAGGCTGCCCACCATCGCACACCAGCCCATGGTCTTGGATCCTCCCTCAGGCCGTCCCGGCCACAGCCGACTGGGGTCCTGGGCTTGTCACCTGCAGGGCGAGAGGGCAGAGGGTTACTGGGGTCTCCAAAGGATCCGGCCAGACCTGCCCCGAGTAGCCACACAGACACGGCCCAGCCTGGGGCCCCGGAGGAGAATTCCCACAGCCGCAGAGGCCGTGGAGCCCAGGATCTCCTCGGGGGCCATCGGGAGCAAGGGGACAGGGAGGTAGGGAGAAAGTCAGTCCACGCACTGAGGCGGGGGTGAGCCGAGGCCTGCGGGGCCATCTAGAAGCTTATTTCAGGGACTAAGACGGCCCAGGATGGCCATCGCGCTCCCCATCAAACCCGCGCTGAGACAACTGTCATTTCAGGGAAACCTAGACAGGGCTCAGCTCAGCGACGAGCAGCCCAGCGTGGGGACCAGGAGCCTGGCTCCAGAACCTTCCATCCCAGCCACACAGCTTCCATGGGGGAAACCGTCTCACCCCCGAGGGCTCGCTTCTTTGTCTGTAAAACTGGAATGATGCACCCTAAGTCCAAGGTCGTCGTGAAGGACAAATGAGATGCTCCATATGAGGAGCATACAGCTCCGTGCGAGACCCGTGGTCAGTACCCACGTCGAGGGAGCCACCAGAAACCGTGGAACCAGGAAGGCAGAGGCCAGAGATCTGGGTCCCTCAGGACAGAGGCTCCTCTGACAAGTCCACGCACAGAAACCCTTTCCCGACATTCCGCAGCAGGGCCCCGCCCTCCTCCCCTGAATCTGGCAGTGGGCCGCCTCTCGTCCCAGCCAGACCTGCCCTCCCCAGGTAGAGGAAGGCACCGCTCTGGTCACCTGGTCCTGATGGAGCATCCCCAGGGAGGAGAAGGAGGCGGCAGACAGGGCAGCCCCCGCCTCTGGACCACAGGGGCCCATAGGGGGAGCCCCGACTTGGAAATCTGCACAGTCCTGCGCCCTCCCTCAGGGGAGCCACCGTCAGCCGTCTCCTTGGGTGGGATGTGCAGGACTGCGGTTGGGGACCCACCTGCCTCCCAGAGAGAAGCACTTAGAAGACCCTTCGCTCTGCAAATCAGAGCATCCCCAGGGAGCTCCTGGAAACAGTCTCCTCGGGCTCAAGCTACCACCCGCCCAGAGTCTCTCATCGCTGTGAAGATCAAAACACTCCAAAAAGCCCAGGGACGACCCAAAGCCCAGTCCTTTCTCCAGGAACTGTGCTTCCGGCTCCTAAAGATGAAGTGGCCTGCCACTGAGCGTCGGGCTCCCAGCACGCAGGGTCCGCGTCTCAGCAAGCCCCCCAGGCGACTCGGACGCCTGCTCCAGTTTGAAAAACACTGACTCAGTGTTGACTCAGCTCAAAGAGACTCTTGTGGACTGTCTGTAAAAGCGTCAGCCTCGTGAGTATCTGACGGGGCGTCGGCCAAGCGCCAGGCATTCAGGCTGTTTCACAAGCTAGACCCAAATTTGAGCCTCAGACCTGCCCTTAAGAACCACGTACGAACTCTGTCATTCATTTAACAACCCAAGCCTCAGTTTCCCCAGCTGTGAAGTGGGGAGTAATTGAGCTGCCTATGGGGCTACAGGGTGGGACGAGACGATGCACGTGACCTGTGTGGCACGGAAAGTGGCCCAGAGTTACACCCCATAAATGTGCACTCGTCACTGTCATCCGTGTCTGGCTCCCGTTTGCTGTCTGATCAGGTGACCGTCAGCCTGACTTCCCAAAGCAGATTTTTAGGAGCCTCTTTCACTCATCAGTCGGTACTGAAGAGGCATCTCTAAACAAGGTGTGGGTCCTCAAAGCTGGACGTAGAGGCTTTACGGGGGAAACCCACCCCCACAGGGCAGTGCATTTATGGAACGGGGTAGGGGGTACACAAATGCGACCACATGGGAGCCCCATGCTGGGCTCTGGGCTGGTTCTTCCTGGATAATGGGCCCCAGGACCCCGACACAGGAAGCCTCCTTCTTGGAAAGAGGACATGGGCCAGTGGGGAGTTCCTGCGGCCTCAGAGGCCTGGGGGCTGCGGGAGGAGGCCCGTCCGTCCCGCAGTTTGGTTCAGCGTTTTGCTCTTGGAGGGGCTTTGCCTGCCCCTCCTCCAGGAGAGGAGAGGAGGGAGATGACCATTCACACATCCCACCCTTCTGGAAGGTTCCGTGGATGGAGACACCACACCTGCTGGCGAGGGGGTCTGTTAGGAAGATAGTCAAGGGGACGGACAGAGACACAGCCCAGGGGGCAGGTCCGTTCTCAGCCCCAGACCGTGAGACTAACTTCCCAGCGGTCCCTGGCTTCCCTGACTTCGTGTTGTTTCGTGTCCTCCCCGTGCCCACACTCCCCCTTCGGAAATCTGTAGCTTGTTCTGAGATTCCATTTCTCCCTCCCCGAGGAGATCTCCCTGGCCCTAAAGTCTGCACCAACTGCTTCCTCCTCTACCCCCACAGCCTGTCAATCGAAACTTTCTCTAAAGTGTCTCATTCCCTGGAACTTACTGAGTGATTTCCCCGAGGCTCCCCGAGGGCAGGGCCTCCGTAGACCGGTTTTTCTTTTTCCGCAGCAGCCTGGCGCACAACGGCTGCCCGGTCACCCTGGACCATGAGTGAGCGTGTTTGCCAAGTGACCGCTGGATGAAAAGACGCCCCGGGTACCACCTGCTCTGCAACATGGGGCTTTCTGTCTGGTGCACCCCCAAAAGAACGGGTGGAGCGTTGAAGCAGAAATTAGAGATGTTTAAACACACTGTTGATTTTTGAAATAACTCTTTCTTAAAAAATTCTTGTAAGGCTTACCCTCAATGAGGAAAAAAGCGTGTCTTCCCTATTTAGGCTGGTTTTCTCGCCTCCATCACAAAGGAAGCGGGGACGTTGTATTACAGATACAGGTGCCCTCTCCCCAGACTCACCCAGTCCAAGGCCTTGGCTGCGGGATGAGGTGACCAGAGGCTGCAGCCAGGAAGGGTCCCGCCAACACCACACTCTGAGAGGGCAGTGCATGCTCTGCAAGGTCCCCAAGTGTCCCCGGGTCCCCTGCCCTTAGTCCCCAGGGATTAGATCTCAGACACTCTAAGTTCGCTAATTCACGTGGAAATCGGCCCCGTGCACAGTTCCTCTCCCTCCACGTATATCCCAGACTCCTCATGGCGCCCGCACACAGCCACGAGCCGGCCCTGTGGCTGCTTAAGCTGCCGACGCCCCCGATGCCACAGCCACAGCCCCCGGGGTCCCAAGTCTGCTGCTCGGGGCTCAGCCGGGCTCCATCTCCGCCCCTGCGGCTGAGCTGCAGCCCCTCGTCTGATGCGAGGAGAGCCTGCACTGCCAGCCAGCTGCCCGGCGCACGGGGGGGTCCTCACTGAGGGAGCTGCCCACCTTATCCGCACGGAGAGGGAGGGCCTGCTCACCACTTGTCCCACAGCCCGCTGACCTGGCTCCCAGGGTGCCAGGGAGGTTAATAGAAAGGTTCTGTTGGTGCACACAGGGCCGGCAACACACCCTGCGGGAGCAGCTGGTCCCCTCCATCCTGTCCCTTGGACCCCGGCATTGAGTTTGCAGGGCACACGATAGCTTCTTCCATCCAGGAGCCTCATGGCCCTTCCCTGCATGGGGGCCCTGTCTGGTCTTCCCAGTCCATGAGTGGGGTCTACACATAAGCCTCATCTGGAAAGAGCATGGACGTCCCGCCAGCCCACCCCAGCTCCACAGCCTCCTTGTCCATCAGGGATGCAAGCAGGTGCTTTGGGACAGGAGCTGTCACCTGACTTCAAGGACAAGTTGTCCAGGGCCCCCACCCTAGCTTTGCCGGGCACCATCTGCAGAAGACACAGCAGCTCGGTGGGCAGGGAAAGCCTGGGGGGCTGCCTGGCTGTGGGGCTTCTAGCCCCAGCACCCGGCCCTGGGAAAACAGGGAGAGGCCTGGGTCAGAGCCCTGCGCCTCCGGGGCTGGCAGCTGAAAGATCCGAGGATGCCCAGAGCAGCCGGGTCACAGAGTTCAGGGACCTCGAAGGGAAGCCTCTCCCTGAACTCCGAGTGGGACCTGGAGCTGCCCAGCTCAAACCCCCACCCAACACCTTCCCGGCGCTTGTGTGCGCTCTGCCGGCTGGGCAAGTGACCGTGGCGATGAACACTTCGCCCATTGTGTTTTCTGACTGAAAATACGAGCGTCAGCATTTCTCCTGGCCTGAAGTTGCCCCACGTGTGTCCACTTGTTTCTGAGGCCGCAGAAGGATTTCTGCAAAATGACCCCCGGCCCCTGCTCCCCACCTCCTCCCAGGGGGCGGCCTGCTTGCTCCTGCCTGGGATATCCCGATGGCCAGTCCATCCTCCGCCACACCAAGGGGTTCCTGTCTGATGGGGGGGTGGCTCTTCCCACAAATACCTTTATTTTGAAGAGCATACAGTCAGCGCCGAATAAGAGGGAGGTTGCAGTGGGGAGCGGGGGCCGAGGAACAGCAGAGACCAGCAGAGCAGGAGAACTGTCACAAAGCAGCTTTGGCGCAAAGTTACGGAGTCTGGACTTTACCCCGAAAGCTCGGGGGTCCGCTGGCAGACGAGGAGCCGGGGGAACAAGCCAATGTGTATTTTCTAAAGATGCTGCTGGCAGGCACAGGGCGAGGGGTGGGCTGGGAATGGGAGCACAGCCCGGAGGCCTCTGCCCGCAGTGAATTAATTCAACACGCATGTATTAAGCACCTACTGCATGATGGCTCTGGGCCTGGGCTGGCAGGAAATGACTCAGAAAAAGCCCCTGCCCTGGGCGCCTCCGTCTCTCGAGACAACGGTCGTCCCTCACTCAGTCTGGTGGGTCTGGTGGGGCTGACCCCCGACTGTGGCTCCCGAGGTAGACAGTGACCCAGCCCAGCCAATGACTATATTCCATCCCCTGCTGCAGTGACTGGTTCAGAGATGGTCACGTGACCCAAGACAAAGAAAGGGGATGTGGAGCCACCAGGAGAGCTGGTTCTCATCCCACCGAGGCTGGGAGCTGGAGTTCTGGGGCCATCTTGCCTCTGTATGGAGCAAGCCTGCCTGAGGAGGAAGCTTGCACAGAGGCATGCA